TATCATGTTTGTCAACATTTGAATTATGAATTGTCAACACAGGGACAAGCAATACAGTCAATGGTTTTAAAGTGGGTCTATTTATAAAATAATGTAATAGCCCTCTTTTTTCTTTTTCAATTATAGTGATTATAAACTTTGAAGTGATATTATTTCATTACCTCTGCTATCGGCAGATTTTTCCTTCAATACAATAAAATTATTGTATATCAAATTCTTAAAGTTTTGAGCATAAAGAAGCAAATTTGTACATGCTTTTTAGTTGCAGTATATGCTTGATGTATTTCCACACATGAGAAAGAAAACTGCATCCAATACTAAGGATAATGTCTCTGGAAGAGTATGCATTACTTCACATGGACTATGAGGAACCAGATTTTCAATGAATCACTCTAAATGTGTTCACAATAGCCCATTAATTTTATTTAGAACTGACAGTTTTGGGATTGGTATATAAGTCTCAGGGCCAGTCTATTTTCTTAAATGCAACTTTTTTCAGTTATGTGCAGAAAAAGAAAGTAAAATGGGGGAGTCTTGAGCTCATATCCAGAGAATCATTCTTGTGAACAAGAAGATTAATGTTTACATTTGAGAATAACTTTAAAGCTTTAAAAATAACCAGAGAGGACCTAATGAGGGCCATCATGAGACAGTATCATTTATGCTACAGTTAATTAAAATTTCTCTGGCCCCCAAAACTGTCATTTTATCACTTCCAAAGTCAGTGAAAGGAACTGTCATGATTGTGGGCTTGGTTGGCGGTGTTATCACCTTGTCAACATACTTTCATTGAAAACAAATTCAGCATTGGTGAGGCGGTTTCTGTTTTTTATAAATAATGTTATCGAATCTCTGCAAATTGGTAATATGTGTGTTCAAATTTATTAAAATGATGATTCTCATTATAAAAAAAACACCCTCAAAAAGCATGAAGATAATCCAACAAAGTATAATTGTACGTAGAATAAAGTTCACCCCAGTTTGATTAAATAGTGAATACTTTAGTCTGTCCAGAATTAAGCTAAACTGATGCTTTCAAAGTTGAATATATTACATGCAGCTTGTAGGCATTGCTAACATTTTATGGTAAAGAAACACAAGTGAATTAGAGTCCAAAATCCTATAAATGTTCCAGTTGCAAGTACTGCCTGACCATGCTGGGATGTCAGTCATATGACTCAGAGGGGAGTAGCGGTGAAGTTTCTATAATACTGCAATGAATGGGGAAAGGAGATGGCAGAGTAGCATGCAGGCCAGTCAGTACCCATTTAAAAAAATATCATATAGAGGTAGAACTTGCTTAAGTAACCTGTGTAATACTGGTGCTGTTCGTTGCTGTCTGACAAAAAAGCACCAGAGCTGCATTCTTGAATGATCCAGCTTGATTTTAATCCTGCGAGAAGTAAGAATGGTAGGAAATAAATTTGCATACAGTATCTTGGCGTTTAACTCCGGATAGGTAGGTATGATTTGACTTACCAATACGATTATTTTTCTTAAAAATATATATAAAAGAAGAAAATAACTGCATGTTTTTATATGAAGAATGTTCAGATTGGCTCTGAAGCATGTGCTGCTCAGTATTCTTAGAATTCATCATGAGGCAAGACTAAATGGAAGTGAATTTTTAAGACAGAAACTATACAGTATTGACATGTTGAATTAGAATGTTTACTTGGAGACCTGCAATTTGTTTGGAAGTCACGCACAAAGCAGGAATATTCATATATACTTTAAATATCTAGCCTTAGTACTGTATGCAACAGAAAACATGACCTAGAGTTTCACAATCAAAACATTCATAAATGTTTTCTATCAATCTTATATCAGCCAAAATCTGGACTGCATCCAGATTTAGATGTGTGCACTGGAGTTGATGCAAGTGAACTTCGCTTTCTCCTTTTTCACCAAGATAACGTATCCTATGAGATGGGGGCGGGGAAGAAACTTTATAAATCATTTAAATAAACAATATATATATTTTTTTAAATTAAGATCAAGAAATCAAGACACGGGTTAACTTATGTAATGACAAATTAATTATGGAAATTTTGCATAACTAGGCTTTCTAACAGCAGGCCACACATTTTATTGCCAGGGCTACATGCCAAGGCAGTTCCAATTATTTGTATTATTAACATGGGCTACGCAAATTAGCCATAGACGAACAGCTTACAGAAGCACAAAGAGTCAGGCATGAGTCCGAAAAGTCCATTTTGATCATTTATTTACTTGCATGAAAAAAAAGCTTCAGAACAAAATCTAATTATTATATGTATGAAGGGATAGTTACAGGTTTTCTTACTGATGTCTCTGCAAAATTTAAGCATGAACTTAAAGGCTCACTGTATTTTCTGTGGATGAGAAATATGAAAGGTCCTATTGTGCTTTCTCATAGGATATTAAGATCCCACTAGGCTTTTCTTTTGATAAGAAGCCTGTCACCACACAGGGTGCAACACCAGTCAGGAGTAAAAAGAAGCACAATCTTTGATGAAACTCTACAACATCTCAATAAGAGGAGTAATATTGTGAGTTGAGTGGTAGTCAGACAAGGTTTCCTTGTTCACGTACAGAATTCCCACAAAAAAAGGAGGACCGTAGCTTAAATCTCTCCTTTGGAAATCAAGGAGAGATTTACAATCAATTAAGAATGGGTCATTAATGTTATTAGATTTTGTTTTTGAGAGACTCTGATGGAGAGACCCAATGGTAGTAATTAGAAAAGAATGCAGTTATTCTCATTTTCTCATTTACAGAGGTTCTCTTAAAAAAATAATGGGAGAAATAGTGAGAAAAGATGAGAGGATTAAAATGATGAACGAAAACTTTCCAAATTTTCATAAAGTATTGACTGAATAATATTTTCTTTCTTTCTTTCTCTGTCTCTTTTAGCCTCCCAAGTACAAAGAAAAAAAAACTGTTTCAGAAAGTTAAGTGAAAAGAGAGGCTGGGGACACAGTATAAAAGAATGCTGAGTTGTGAGAAGTTGGGTGGTATAGAATTCCTGTATTGGAATGGATTAAAGAATGAATAAATAAATGTTGCCTTTTTTCTCAGCTCTGGAGATGGCAGCAATTTCAAAAGTTTATCTAACAGATGTCCAGTATTTAAATGTTCAATATTTAGCAATATTAAAATTCAATCTTTGAAGTATTGCATTTACGAAATGATGGACAATTTATTTCCAAAGTAGCTTAAAACAACATCAAAATCTTAAAGGAATGCAATTATATCGTATAACTATATGTTAATGAACATTAACGAAAGATGACTGATGGTGATAAAGAACTCAAGAAATTCAAACTTAAGAAATAGTAATCTTTTTTTTAAATATTGTAATATAGTTATTGAAATATTTATGGATTCTGATAAGCTATGTGTAAAAAGCCCTGACTAAATCAAATAAGCCATGTTTAGAATCAATTAAAATTTTTCATTGCACAAATGTATGAAAACAAATCTGATCAAATCTTTATTATGGTCATAGACCAGCATAAGGAAACTGGATATGGTCATTGAAAAAGTATAAAAGTACGGTTGTTAAAAAAGTATAATGTATAATAAATATAAACATCAAGACTAAAAATAAAAATTTAAATCTAAAAGAGAGATTTAAGCAACTATTCAACTCTTCCATGGAATAAATCAGATTGGAAATTTAAATTTCTCCTGATTACAAACTAAAATATTAAAAGTTGAAAATATTAGAAGTTGTTTGATAGAAAAATTACCACAATTTTTATATTGCCTGAAGTATAATACCAGATTAAAGGAAAGGAATATAAGTCTGTAATTTAGTAATTCATCTGTAATTACTAAAGTTTCTAAAACAGTTTGAACCATTATTTTGTTGATTTTTTTTCCATCTTGATTATTTTATTTCAATTACAATGTTCCATGATTTTGCAAGTTCCTCTGGAAAATCTTTGCCATGAAAGGTAGACTACAAGTTATATAAAATAGCTAATTAATTATCAAATTATATATCATATCATTGGTATTTCTAAAAACTGGGGTTGCTAATCTAGCCCTTTATAAACCAATCATTAAATTATAAGTGGCTTCTATGAGTACAAAATGGCTTAGTTTTTTTCCTAGCCCAAGAAATATTTTATTTCGGTTACATCCCTTACTGCTCTGGAATGAAAGAGCTTTCTATCCATTACTTAGACAATTAAAAAAATGTTTCATAAATAACCAAGTTCTAATATTAACCAGGTTCTGAATCTGGCTTTAATGAAGCAGACTGAGATTTCTCCTCAAACTAATACTGTAAATGCAATTGAAACCACAATGGCAAGAAAAGTTGGGAAAAGAAAAATGGCTTTACAGCTGGTTTGGCAGGATTTGAGACTGTGCGAAGCTTTGATCCTTTATTGAAAAAAAAACTTCAACCTCTAATGATTTACAAAATAATACACAGAAAACAAACCAAGTGAAATAAGTGCACCCACTTTTTATGTGAATGCTAGTGTGAGTGTGTGCAGAATACTGCAATTTTCATCAAACCTAAATCATCAATAGGTCATTTAGAAAGTATACAATTAACACTGAGACATGATTGATTTACATTTAATTCTGCAAGTTATTTTCCATCCCATTTGAGTCAATTTCTAAATGCCGAAGAACAGAATGGCTCTTGAGTTACAAAGGCCTCTGAATGGACACAACTATAAGATAAGCTAAAGAGCTGTGGAGCATCTTCTAAAAATTCTGATATCAATAACTAACATTTAATTGCAAACCTGTGTTTTTTTTATACGTTAGAAAAATAAAAACATTCATGGCCTTAACGTTAAACTTCAGGGAAAGGCAATCATATCTAGAGTGATTTTAATGTACAATTATAATATGTTGGCATTCAATGTGAACTATATTAAAATATTTATTTGAAAGATATGAAAACAGTGATCTGTCAGTTAAAGTTTTTAATAAGTGGAACTCATGTTTTGAAAACACCACCACAATATATGTGTTGCATATTACATATGACTTACCTCTTTGCTTTCTTCCAGATCTGACTCACTGCTAAACTCCTCTGTATTTAAATTTTCAAAATCTGATTCTCCAACAGCAATGGGTACTGTCACAGTTACACTTGGGTTATTTATGAATGACATGTAATCACTTTCATCAATGATGTATTTTTCCACGCTGCTCCCTATGCCGCTGGTCCCATTGCCATCTTTCAGATAGTTAAAATCTTTGCCAATATCTACTATTACATGATTAGAAATGCAACTGTCTTTCTTATTGTTTAGATCTTCAAGGGGCTTGATTTCATCCAAAGCTTTTTGTTTTCTCACGAATGCTTTTTGTACAAATTCATGAACTTTTCTTTTTATAAAATCTATTCCTTTCTGAATCCTAGCCACTGCAATCTGGAGGTTGTTCATTTCATTATCATCATCTGTAGCAGCAAGATTGTCTGAACTGAAGGAGCTCAGGAGCAAGGCCAGAAAAAGATTCAAAACCTATTAAAAGAAAAACAGGGTCACTCAGTTTATCATGCTATTAACAACAACGTCTGAATATTTTGGTGTAAGTGTTGCTTCTTCTTGATTATTCTTATGTCAGACTATTCTAATGCCTATGTTCTGCTTCCTAATCTGGTATCTTTTTTGAACATAAAGAACCAACACTGAAATAGATCAGCATTCTTATTAACCCACTTCTGTGTTAGGTGATATTCTGTAGCAGAAGATGTATTAATTTGACTGTTTAAAATTCTCTAACACTGTTACTGACTAAACATAATAATTCAGTTTTCCTAATCATGATTTGCATTTTTCATCTAATATTACCATCCTTCAGGAGCCAAAAAGATGTTCTCCACCTGTAGCATAGACATCATAGAGTTAATTGGATCACTGATCTGACTTCATATAAAGCAAGGTCCCCGTGTTTCCCTATTAAAAAGGGATAATAAGCCCACGACAATTATAATAGAAATACCCTTAAAAATACTCTCCTGCCCACCTAGCAGTTTGAAAGCATGCAAAGGCAAGTAGATTAATAGGTACCACTTCGGTGGGAAGGTAACAGTGTTTCTACACCTTTGGCATATAGTCCTGCTGGCCACATCTCCACGGAAAATGTCTTTGGACAACGCTGGCACCCTTGGCCAAGAAACGGAGATGAGTACCACGCCCTCAAGTACAACATGACTGGACAGGAAATCTTTACCTTTTATGCTAAAAAACCCCACCCTACTTTTTGAACGTGGAAATGGAAATATTTTTCTACATATACCAGAGGGCAGGAATACATATTTTGTATTTGCACGACCTGCTGACTACAATAGAAAAGTAAAAAAAAAATCAAAATTGGTTTAAATTTTAAATGTATGCCGATTGTTCAATGTCAATATTTAAAGAATCCAGTTGCAACGGACTACTTGCCTTAAGTGGACGTTTGCTTGATACATACCACTAAATTGCCAATCACCATGACCATCATGAAGACAGTAAGGCACAGGGGCTGTCCAGCAACCTCCATACAGTCCCACATAGTCTCTATCCATTCTCCACAAAGAACTCGAAAGACAATCAAGAAAGAATGAAAAAAATCATTCATGTGCCAGCGTGGGAGTTCACAGTCGTTGGAAATCTTGCAGACACACTCCTTGTAGTTTTTGCCAAACAACTGCATTCCAACCACGGCAAAAATGAAGACAATGATAGCCAAAACCAAAGTCAAATTTCCCAAGGCACCTACTGAATTGCCAATAATCTTTATCAACATGTTTAATGTTGGCCAAGATTTTGCCAGTTTGAAAACTCGAAGCTGAAAAAATATAAAAGCACACAGGCGTCAGTATCGGGGTTAATGATTTCTGATTTTAATTATTTTTCATTCATAATAAAAAAAAGAGTTGTTTTGTGCAGAAATTCTGCTCTGGACACTGGATTTAGAAATTCATGTGAAGGTTCCCCTGAGTAAGTAAAGTCAATATGTATTGGTGGCTTAAGTAATTGTGTTTGAGACTCAAGACTCTTGGAAAAGATCTTATTGGTCTTGATGAATTTAATTCCTAAGAAAATATTGATCAAACCTGCTGTTATATTCTTCATGCAATTAGCTGCTGACTTATTTTAATTCTGAATAACATTCAGGTATCAGAATGCAATATGTGTATTCACAATTTGATTACTCTGATTACAAAATATGATCAAAATGTTTCTTGAAACCTTCTGTGGATATTTACCAATCTGAAGGATCTTAGAACTGATAATCCTTCCACATTTGCAAGACCCAACTCCATCAAACTCAGGCTGACTATGATGCCATCAAAAATATTCCAGCCTTCTTGGAAATAATAATAAGGATCCATGGCAATTATTTTGAGAAACATTTCTGCTGTGAAGATGCCAGTAAACACCTACATACAAAAATATTATTTGTCATCAGTCCTAACTAACAGTCTATTCATAAAAATGTTATTGAGAAAGATAAAGGCAAACTTTAAAAAAATACCTCCAATTCAACAGTTTGATATTTTGAGAAATGGAAACGTGTATTTTGATATGTGCATACCATTATTTTTATATGTCCTTACCACTAGGCATAAGATTCAATCTCACACACTCCCCATTCATAAGGAAGCTATCCCACAAGTTTCCCCCCCCCCAGTATTCTTTATCTAATAGAAGACAGATCAGGATCTACAAGTAAATCTCTGGGCATCTATAATAAATTAGCTTATATTTCTGATTGATTTTCCCACCACTAGCAATTATTAGAAAGGTCTATTGAAAAGTAGAAAAAAATGGGAATAAATATTTGTGCAAAGAGAACTTTTGAACTTAGTTCTGATATTCATCACAAATTCCCGGACTGAATATATAGCAAGTACTCAGATTTAATATGTACTTCATTCTTTTAACTATCTGTCCATGCCATTATTTTGCTTCTGAATTCTTTGCTGGAACTTCTAAATACTGATCTCTGCCCCCCCCCCCCCGCTAAAGATCCCAATCATAAAGTATGTCCATTTCTTGTCTACTTTATATGGTTTTGTGTCTCTAGAATTACTACTTTTTTTTAAACGGGTAATTCCTTGGATTGAATGTAAGCATGCAAAGCAAGGTCTTTACAATCAAGCTCCTTCTGAAGAAGTGATTGGGAGCATTTATATTTTTAAAGAAAATACAGTTTTACATATTCAAGTCACCACAAGGTATTCAGTAATAAAAGAGTTAAAATCGAAGTATAAGTTCACCTCCTATACATTTTACCAACTGTAAAACCGGGAATAGAAAAACAATGTCTGTCTGTCTGATTCTGTCTGGGTGGTTTGCAATTAAAAAAAAAACCATGTTGATTCATTAGTAGGGTTCCTTTCTGCATTTTGCTTCAATGCAGGATTTCTCACGGGCAGCTAAGTATTCATTGGATCTGGTTCCTCTTATTCTGTAGTGTTCCTTTCATCATTTGTCCTCCTGACTCCCCTGCAGCTGCTGCTGGGAACAGCAGTGAAGAAAGCATTTGATACCAATCCCTCTAGAAACTGCCAGATTTTGTAAGCAGCAGTTATCATGTCCTGCCTGCACTTAGCTTCATATTTAGAATTCAAAATATTACTAGCATTAAATCATGGCACATTGATTTGAATGGGACCTAAAGAAGAATGACTTAAACTTGATCTAAGTAGAGTCCAAAAAATTCAGCAATCTGTCCAATAAATATTGCTCTCTTATGGGACTGCAGAAGACTTACCAAGTTTCCAACGGATAGTACATTATTAAACTGTTGGGTCATTGGGTAATGCTCCATTGCCATAAACAAAGTATTTAAAACAATGCAGATGGTAATAGCAAGGTCAACAAATGGATCCATCACAATCAAATTAACAATATGCTTTATTTTCAGCCAAGGAGTCCAGCAATCCCAGATTAAGCACATGTTAGCAAATTTGTACCAGCAGGGAGGGCACTTCTGCCTGGATTCCTCAAGTTCTAGAAAGAGTGAAAAGAAAGCAGATGGCAAGAGAAAGTTCAAAAAGCTACCCAACTTATCCATTTCAACACATACGTTAAAGAAACAGCATGATGGGGATCCTAGGAATAACTTCCCTCATCTTATTTTTTTACAAGTGGCCAGAAAAATGTAAACAACTATTCTTTACTAAACATGAATTGGAATAAGAGGCATATTAGCAGTATTTTTCTTTTCTGTGTAGTGGGGACAAGGGATCTTCCTCTGTCTTCCTCTCTGGTAGCCACATAGCAATGATTTGCTTGACTATAATTTAGGGCTGGGTAAGTCTCCGTAGAGATGCCCCGTTTTGATAACATTCTGAGAAGAGAATCCATCGAAAGTTGCTGCATGACACAGCTCTACATGATTTTTATCAGTGCAGCAAAATGGTTATATTACTTCTACAAAGTCCACAAGAAGATTTTTATACAGCATCCTCCAGGACTCCTGCAATCTTCTCTGGCACTTTCAGAACATGAAAGAAGATTCTGTGCATGGAAATATCAGAGAAGCTTCTGTATCCCTGTGCTAACTGTCCTGACCCCTCTTCTAGTTTTTGCAAGTGTAGGATGAGGCAAAGTGGAGGAAGAGGTAAAAGATTACACTGAAATGATGAGGCCATAGGAGCCCCCTTATTAAAGTAAATTGCCTGCATCTTTGTTGAGACAAGACACATCGTCTCTGTCAAAAGATCTACTGTAGTTAAGAGTTTCAATTGGCATTAAGGAAATAGGGCTACACTCTGATCTGACATCATACAGCCAACCCATGGTTGGTGTTATGCCTGGATCTGTACCAATTTACTGAAATATTTGCTTTGCAAATCATATTCATGCTAACCATGCTTTGTTGTTAAGTTTGCATTTGAAAATTATGAAAGTCTGGAGCAGGCAAGATCTAATTAGAACCCTGTTTTAGCTGAAGAAATTATTGCAGCATAAAAATCAGACGAAACAGAGGAAACTGAAAAAAGAAGCATAGTTCACTCCATTCGATTGGAGCGAAGATTAGAACATTAAGAATTCTCTCCTAGAACAACAAATCTGGTGTCTTTACTATATATATGTGTGTGTGTGTGTGTGTGTAGGTCGTTGGTTGTTCGGGTTTTCTCCCGCGTAAAATTGGAAGTGTCTTGGCGACGTTTCGATGAAGTCCCATTCGTCATCTTCAGGCTGGTGTTTTCAGCTTCATGCTTCGTGCGAAAACCTCAGAAAACATATATATATATATATATATATATTTATATATATATATATATATTTATATATATATATATATATATATATATATATATATATATATATATATATATATATATATATAATAAAATATAAAAATGAACACTAGGGTAATAAAAACTAAAGAATTTTTTAATGGGTTAAAACTATAAAAGTTTTAAAAAGCGCCAAGCTTTCGCCGTCACCTGCCGGCATCCTCAGGGCTGGCGTGCCAGAGAATGAGAAGGTCTTTTTATAGGCGTGCCGAGGTTTGCACTCGGCTCCTTGATCTTGGTATGGGGCCTGATTGGTTCAGCCGTGTGTAGTTGGCCTGCGCTTTTTTTCTCTTCTTAGTTGTATTTTTATCCTCGTCCGTCTCCAGTTCTCCCAACCTCAGATTAGCTGAATGGCAATTCCAGTTATTTCGGTTGCTTTCATGTTCCGATCTCACCTCAGGCTTGGGTGGTGGTGGACGTTCCAAGTTCCTTTCTCCGCCCCGTTCTGTCCGGTTGCTACTTTTAGAGTCCCATATATTTCCGGTCTCAATGCTTTCGGTTTTAATATGTTTATCATCCTGGTAATCCCGTAAATTGTTACGAGTCTGGTATAGCGTGGGGGGGTATTCCGCATGGTGGAGGGGTCGTCTCGTGTTCGTTGTCATGCCCAGCTGTCTCGCACGTGTCTTACTCCGAGTGCTCAATCCTGGGGGTGTGTGCACAGTCATCGGGGCGCGTCCCTCCTGGTTACCGTGTTCTTCCTTAGTTCTCCCCTTTTTTACCTTGTTGGAAGCGCTCGCGTATGTTCTATGGGAGTCCTCAGGATCGTCAGGTAGGGGGTATGACAGCTCTATCTCTCGCCCCCTGCCGCTCTCCGACTTTCCTTCCTCCTCTCCAACGGTATGTAGGGGTTCATCATCAACCCCCTCCCGTGGTTTGTCCTCATAGGAGCTGATCGTTCCAGCTACATGGGGAGGTTTTCTCCTCCTTTCCCGACCAGCTGCGATGTTTCTTTTGGTGTGTGGGCAGGCCATTGAGTTTGGTGATTCCTCCGCATTTTCACCTGCCGTATCTTCCCTCATCTCCTCTTTGTAGCCGGGGGTCCGGACCTTGGTTCCTGTCCCATGTAGCTGGAACGATCAGCTCCTATGAGGACAAACCACGGGAGGTGGTTGATGATGAACCCCTACATACCGTTGGAGAGGAGGAAGGAAAGTCGGAGAGCGGCAGGGGGCGAGAGATCGAGCTGTCATCCCCCCTACCTGACGATCCTGAGGACTCCCATAGAACATACGCGAGCGCTTCCAACAAGGTAAAAAAGGGGAGAACTAAGGAAGAACACGGTAACCAGGAGGGACGCGCCCCGATGACTGTGCACACACCCCCAGGATTGAGCACTCGGAGTAAGACACGTGCGAGACAGCTGGGCATGACAACGAACAAGAGACGACCCCTCCACCATGCGGAATACCCCCCCACGCTATACCAGACTCGTAACAATTTACGGGATTACCAGGATGATAAACATATTAAAACCGAAAGCATTGAGACCGGAAATATATGGGACTCGAAAAGTAGCAACCGGACAGAACGGGGCGGAGAAAGGAACTTGGAACGTCCACCACCACCCAAGCCTGAGGGGAGATCGGAACATGAAAGCAACCGAAATAACTGGAATTGCCATTCAGCTAATCTGAGGTTTGGAGAACTGGAGACGGACGAGGATAAAAATACAACTAAGAAGAGAAAAAAAGCGCAGGCCAACTACACACGGCTGAACCAATCAGGCCCCATAACAAGATCAAGGAGCCGAGTGCAAACCTCGGCACGCCTATAAAAAGACCTTCTCATTCTCTGGCACGCCAGCCCTGAGGATGCCGGCAGGTGACGGCGAAAGCTTGGCGCTTTTTAAAACTTTTATAGTTTTAACCCATTAAAAACTTCTTTAGTTTTTATTACCCTAGTGTTCATTTTTATATTTTATTATGAATATCCCTAGGGTTCACATTTTTAACCTTTTTAATCGTCATATATATATATATATATATATATATATATATATATATATATATATATATATATATATATATTCGCACGAAGCACGAAGCTGAAAACACCAGCCTGAAGATGACGAATGGGACTTCATCGAAACGTCGCCAAGACACTTCCAATTTTACGCGGGAGAAAACCCGAACAACCAAAGACCTACATACAAATACCCGCGAAAACCATATATATATATATATATATATATATATGGTTTTAATAGTACTGGTAATAAGGAAAAGTTTATATTGGGAAAACACAAATCAATAGGCACCAACAGTCAATTAACAAAATTTAAATTAATGAATATGAAGATGTTTATTTTTGAAATGGAAATTCAGCCTTTGCCCTCTGAATTTTAGAAGCCTTGTTTAGATGGGATGCTTACCTTCCATTGTGTTGGTAAGTATGCTAGCTATGCTCATTGCTCTTTGCCTTGCAGTAGGATCAGAGAGAAAATCCATTGACATGTGGTAGGAACTGGAGCACCTTTTTCTTAGTTCTGTTTCTGTAGTGGTGCCCTGAAAATATTGGATTTATCAATTGGAAGAATATGGTTATTTGACTTGTAAAAACAGACTATGCATGAACAGAGTACTAAAGCTAGCAATATTCAGTCCTTTGATATATCTTCTGCATATAAAAAGTAAGTCAGAGAGATAATTTGGCTTGAACAATCATTTCTGTTATCAAGTTTAGTGCATCTTGGCTCAATGCTTGTTTGCAACAGTTTCCCCAGGAGTAGTTACAGAAAATATTAACTCTCTGTAGCCATCTGTCATCTGGATTTCTGCATCTCAGATAGTCCTAATTAAGGAAGCAATCCATTTAAAGATGCCTTAAGGATTTATCTAAGGACTTTAAGGGTTTAGTTAATTATATTTGCATACAAATAAAAAGTTACATCAACTTCAATTTATAACGCTCAGATTTATTGTGGACTAGCCTTATAATTACCCCCTTTTCATTTCTCCATCCTATTTGTATAGTATGAACATGAGGAGGGGCTTTTTAAGAACAGAGGAACAAAAATCTGATATGAATGAAGCTAACTGGTCAGCATCATTGTTCCTTCTAGCAACTGTCGCTAATGACTAAAGCTACTAGATCTACTTTGTATAAATCTGCACAATCAGGACATGGCAGCAAAGAGTTCCTTTTCTGTGTTTTTGCTGCCATTTAGTGGCCATTTGAATTTGTGAAGCCTGGATTTTCATTTTTTTTAAAAATCAGAAGCAGTTGGAATGATATTATATGAAGAAGAAGCATTGCTCTGACACTGCCCTTGAGTTAAATATTGTCAACCTAATTTTCTGTCTTAGGGAACATTTTTTTTTTATGAGAACATTCCCATCAGAGCTATCCATCATCGTCAACAGTTTTGTTTTTCTGGATTAAAAAGAAAGATGGCTACTGACTGGTATCCTTTAGGGAGAATTACTAAATGTCTTAAGTTCACATCAAGAGAGTCCTAGTTCTCCTTTGTCCTTTAATGTTAATGTTTCTTTGATTTAGTTACATGACAAACTGCTGAAACGCTGTTCATGTTAACACAGTGTTTCAAGTTGTGCTTACCACCATTGAAAAATCAAGCAGGAACACTATAAAACAAAATTCCTTTATATAAACTACATTTTTTTCAATCTCCTCAGTCCATATGCACAGTCAGATGGCCACATTAAGGAACTAACCCACAGCCTCTGAGTTGTCTGAAAAGTATGCCTGAATAAAATTCACTGTCCCCTTTGTCAAGCTCTATTTTGCCAAAATAATATGGCTGGTGATAAATGTTGCTCTTACTGTTTCGATGAAAGGTAGATTTAAGAAAGCAATTGGTCAACTTCCCTAGCTTCATTTCCCATCCTAACAAGCACTGCTTTCCAGTAGGGAAGCTATCAGCAGTCATTCTCCCTAACGTGGGGTAGGGCAGGATTAAGCAGGACACTGAGCCACCAACCAAATTGCCTAATAGTTTGCAGCTACTGTATTCTGGGCTTGGCTTTGTCAGTTAGGCCATTTCTGAATGTGAATCGAGCACTCTTCTAAAAGAGCATTAAATCCTGAGTATGGGGTGAAGTTGGAAGTAGAGATTGACAACAACCTCCAGGTCAACTAGGGCTGCAAGAAAATGACAGTATTGACAAGTTAAGTCCTGTCCTTAGAGATGGCAGCGGTTCTCAACCTTTTTGATGCCACGACCCCCAACCAGTCGTAAGTCGAGGACTACTCAACCGGCCGTAAGTCGAGGACTACTCAACTGGTGCAGCACCATTTGCAGAATGGGACTTTTGGTGGGCTCAGCAGGGCAGAGACAGCCAGGACAATTCCTATTGGCTTTTGAAAGCCAATAGAATTAGACTCTATTCAAGAGAGTCTATTCTATTGGCTTTCAAAAGCCAATAGAATAAAAGGGAGTAGCACAGCTAAGGAAAAAGGGGAAAAAAATGGCGGACTGCGTTGTTTGCCGACCCCTGTGAAATGGTCATTCGACCCCAAATGGTGTCCCGACCCACAGATTGAGAACCACTGACCTAGAATGAAAGACAAGGTGGAATGAAATAGGCAAACGGTATTCCTTTTTCCCAAAATAATAAGGACAGTAGAAGTATGGCCACACAAAACCTCACTGGCAGAAGCAGAAAATCTATAACCACCCACTGTTGACAGAACCAGCAGCACGCAGCTGGAATAACCTGGGATGATATGACTCTTTTCAAAAAACGGAAAGGAAATTCCCTTTAGGTCACCCTATGATCAAGATTTTTTCTTATGCAAGATTCCTTATTATAGGAAAGCTCTGAACTTTAACTTATCAGGATGTGCTCTCCAGCATTCTTCTGAAAGCCTACTTTGAGGTGCTTTTTTAAAGTTTTATTTTAATTTACAAGCTAATCTAGTAGCCAAGAGAATTTCTAGTTTAACCTGGTCCGATGCCAAAGTGGTTGCGGATCTGAATTTAAGTTTCAAATCAATGCTGTTTTGTCCACTGCAGAAAGCTACCACCAACCCTTTGGGGATTTCTGACCCCTTTTTTTGTTGTTTTGAGGGCTTGGGGGAATTTAACAGACCAAATGAATGCCTTAAGCATTGCAGGTGTATAAAGCACCCATTCCAGCCCTTAAAATTCCTGAAAGCATCTCCCTGTCAAAATTGGGCCCCCAACTTTCTTCACATGCCAGGCAAAGTTTGGCACAGTCCTTGAGCCAATGATAGTTGCACTTCTGATCTCTTATTACCTCAGGAAGAAGCTGCCCAGCGGGTGACATAAGAGGAGGAGGCCCGCCAACTAAGGAAACCACCCCATTGCAGTCCACAGTGCTGTGCATCTTCCCATTTGCTGGAAGGATGGGCATCACCCTGGAGGATCGGCTGGCCTGACTGATGTTACTGTTGCGACGCTCACAATGCCGGTGAGGAACAAAGAGGGAATCTCTCCTACTCTCGTTGTCTTCAAAAGTGCTGTGCTCGTCGTCAGCAAAGTCATTCTCTGATCCAAGATCCTTTGCTCGGCCTCTGAAGCTGAAGAGACTCGTTTTGCTGCTGCGCCTGGGGGAAAACAGCGATCCGCGGATGCTCAGCAAAGACTGTAAGGGAATGAGAGATCAGAAACATCCATAAACAGATTGAAAGGCGATGGGAAAATTAAAGATCCTTCTTAACTATTGTGCAGCCATGACAATATAAGAAAAGTGAATACAGATATTTTGGGGTCTCTCAAGAGCACAGGAACAATCTCCATTATTTTTTTTAAAAAATGTTAAATATTTATTAAATAATTTCTAAATTAGTGCCACCATTTCTCTTGCTTTTACATTCTAAATATAATGAATCATAAATTAAAGGGTCCCTCTTGGAGGGAGTTGGGTGGTTTAGAAATGTGAAAAACAAATTGGTAAAATCCCGACTCATCTCTGCTTGCATCATCTTGGCATTTGCTTTATGGTGCAAACTAAAGGTTGGTATTCTGTGGGACCAGACAAGTCCCCCCCCACACACCTTTTAAGAAGCCACTGGCCATTCCTGGAGCTCTCTAGCGTTCACTGTTCCTTCTCTTTGCAGCTGCTGCCTTGCTATTATACTCTTCTTTTAAGCAAGCAAGAAACAAGGGTAGAGGAATACGAACAAGAATGGTAGCCTCCATATATGAGTGGACTAGGCCCATATCAGAAGACCAGACAGAAGCAAAAAGTGCCAGGAGATTGAGGCATACTCTTCTCATTTAAGGTGTACCCCGAAGAATTGCTTTACAATTTACACGGTAAGTTTTTCCTTGAGGCTTGCACAGAAATTGATATAGAACACAGAAATGAATTCTAAATCTGCACAATTACATATCAAGATGTAACGAACTAAGAAGACACATGAGAAGAAAAAGGGAAATGAGAAACCCAGGATTTTATTGAGGCGTAACCCATAAAGTTATCCATAAAGTCCTACAGCAGTGAAATATGCTTCAGGATCTACTTTGCCCACATATATTCTCCATACCTGGTGTGGGGAAGAAAACCTTTTTTCATAGGTTAATCTGTTCCCTTCAATAGAGAATCGAAAGCCTTTTCTGTGAATGCTGTCCTCTGATTCTGATTTGTGGAATTCATCCTCATCTTTCTCATCTCCTTCAGACTGTTCTCTCTGTTTTCTCTTCTTCCGCCTGTTCTTCCTCTCCTTTGCACTCTTGGAACTCAGTTTTGATGTTGCTGAAGAACTTTCTGAGAATCCACCCACACCACCAACTTCACTAAATTCTCTTGATTCACCCGCCGCCGCGGCTAAAGCTGCTGCCTGAAAGTTAAGGACATTTAAGATACATCATACCAATATATTAATTCAGAGGGTTTGTTTTATAAAACAGATGAGTTTGATGCTCATTATAGTAAGCCTACATTTCAAGGAAATAGGAACTTACCAAATAACATGGCATGTTTAAATGAATATGAAGCATACTTGATCTCACTCAATTTATCTCAGTATGTCAGGTTCAATCTTTTTCCAGCAAGGGCACTGCTCTGCACCCCCATAGATCTACAATTTAGAACGCCTTTACAGCAATCTTGAAATGCCAGTCTTTGCTTTCATCCACCACCTCTCAATTGTGTAAGAAGAGAGGTAGTTGTTCAGTTTACAATCTTTGCTATAGTGAGAAGTACAGTATTGAGCACAAAGACCAAGGAACAAAAAAGTTTAAGGAACCCTAAAAATACAGCCTTCCCCGGCAAACAGGTCAATAAAAAGCATGGGTGAATAACTTCTGGCTGAGGGGCTGCATGCAATTCTTTCCCCCAAGATTTCTGTGTATTCCAGCTTCCTCCCTAGTTGTAGCCAAATTTCGTTAAGTATGTTAAAATTAAACATGGTTTTAAGACTGGCTAAAGAGGGAGAGGATAAAGGCCTGTACCTAAGGATGGGGAGAGGGACAGGATGTGGTTATTACTCTGGATATGATTATTAATTTTTTTGGTTTATTGTTACCCTTCTTGCCCCACTAATATGCTATCCTTAATTTAAAAAAATAACTCACAGACAGGACATTTTTCTTTTATTGATGGGTCAGAGCAGCCTTATTAAAACCAGACATTTCTGCCAAAAGAGGGCAGAAGGGAATACTGGGAGGGGGGGAAGACTGAAATCCCCTTGCCTCTTTCATTAGGTAGCATCAAAAGGAAAGTACCTTGTCCACTTCTCTTTAGCAGATAGGACTCACTGATTCTTTTTTAATAAACAGGTCAAAATGAAACAAAAATCTTATAAGGTTTTTTTTAATGGTGTGTAGAAGATACATTTAATATCTAAAAGCCTTAATTATATTTTATTTCTGATGGAGGGATCTTAATTCATTCTAAAACTGTAGGAAAAACAGAGCTTCATTTAGCACTGTTAGTTGAAATTTTGCCTCAAGATAGGAGTGCCTTTCTTTTTAAAAATGGATTGAACTGTGGCATAGTGACAAAAGGAGTAAGCAGCACTGATATTTGGGGTCCAATGCTTCCTTTTTTTTTCTTTTTTGGGAGAACAATTTTTGAGGACAAAGAGATTTAGTTTTTATAGGTACATTAAATCTATTGGAGATTTAATGCATCAAGTTTTAGTTTCCTGTCCTCAAATGGTTCAATATTGAGAGAAGACATAGGGTAATTTTCTTCTTACTCCAATGGCCATCAGTACATAAGTTTGAATATATGTATACTCATGGCCACTAGATGTTGCCATCTTGAAATGTTTTAGTCACCCAGGATCTTGGAGTCAACCAGCTGGAAGCCACAAAATTTGATATAGTAAACCATGACTTTATATGTTAACTTTATAGTAAACCATAACTTTGTAATTATAGGACAAAACATAAAAGTTGTATTCCACTCATTAAGTAACCTGAGCCTCTTCTTGCTGTTTTTTCAGCTGCTCCAGCATCTGCTGGAACTCTGCCTCTTTCTGCTCAGCTTCTTCCATGGTGGCTTGATTCTGCTCTTCATAGGCCATGGCAACAACAGCCAGGATCAAGTTGATCAGGTAGAAAGAACCCAAGAAAATCACCAGGACAAAAAAGATCATATATGTTTTGCCAGCAGCACGTAGAGTCTATAAAAGAAAATAAAGAATAAATAATTTTAAAACAGTCCCCCAAAATATATTAGCCTCCTTTTATCTTATATCTAGGGCAGGGGTAGGCAACCTTGGCTCTTTTATGATTTGTGGACTTCAACTCCCAGAATTCCTGAGCCAGCATGGCTGGCTCAGGAATTCTGGGAGTTGAAGTCCACGAGTCATAAAAGAGCCAAGGTTGCCTACCCCTGGTCTAGGGAATGAACATAAGACAAATGCTGTTCATAATCTTATTAGGTGAGATGGTCTGACTGTATTAGGTACATGTGTGAGTTTATGTACACGATTACATGTTAATCTACAAATAAACCTACAACTGCTGTAATTATCATAGACAAGACACATCTGGGCTACTGAACTAATACAGATGGAACTCACCTCCCTTCATCACTGAGACTGAGGTACTTCCCCTATCTTAAACATAAAGAAGAGATTAAGGACAACTGGGACATTCCACCTGAGACTTTTCCAATTCTGACAACATGCACAATAAGACAGCAGGGAAGAATGTATGATCCTACAGGCATTGCTTAATTGCAACTCTTTTACCATCAGTAGCCAGGATGACCAATGATGGGAACAATAAAAAAATGAAGTTCAGTAATATCTGGAATGGAAGTATAGATTACCAATCTTTGCTTCACTCAGCTGTATTTCAAGATAACATCAAAAATCACTGGCTAGGGACCAAATTAGGAATGGTGTGTTAAGAATAACATGCTTAACCTTAAAACCAAAATGCTAAGCCACCGTAGTTAATGAAGATTAACACTAACCAAACTTAGCATGTTACTCAAGCAAATGCATTTGCTATTTGATTCTGCCAAGGATGTTGCATAAATATAGCCCATCTGTTATTTCTGTACTTGTGCAATATTACCATTGCTTCTAATGTACCCATTTGGCAAATTTTAATGACTACATTGAGCAGTACGGTGAGTTTGCGCATAGGCAATACACTACCAGCAAAACTTTGTTTTGTAGAGAGCAGTGGGATGCTGGTCAATGTTCTCTATTTCACTTTCTCTTACTCACTTTTCTTCCCATTTCCTTTCGAAAAGCTATCCCTAAGATGAAGATTATGAAAATTACTGAGGTTGAAATCCAGTTCATCTGGAGGATGTTTAACTGAGCAGAGAATACTATCTTACCCCTTCAGTTTTATCTGATTTGTGAAATGAATTCTTTAGAGGTCCAATGTAGGAACAGATGAAATGGTGCCCTGCAGATAGTCAAGTTACTTTGCTCTTATAAGAGCTATAGGAATTATGAGAGCTATTAGAGCTTTTCAGAACATTTGAAGTTTTCAAGTTGCTGACCCTGAAAGTAATATTTGTCTTTTGGGTGAAAAAAAAAATTCAACAGTAATTATAACAATGCATTATAACATGATCCATTGAGCATATGCAAAACACCGTGCCTGGGTGTTTTATCCATAATCTATAGGACTATAGGGAAGGTTCCCACAAACCAGTAATAGCTCCTGGTATCAGGGAAGGGATTGCAGCACATGTTTTGGGTCCATGACATTGTGGCTTCATTTCCTTGGTATCTCCTGGTAAGAGAATCCCTAACTCAGCAAACTTTATGGCTATGGGGGTTAATAACATGAGGCAGTCTAATACAGTTCCATATATTCCTTTCAGAAAATAATAATAATAATAAAGTTGGAAGGGACCTTGGAGGTCATCTAGTCTAACCCCCAGCTCAGGCAGGAAACCCTATACCATTTCGGACAAATGGCTGTCCAGTTTCTTCTTAAAAACTTCCAGTGTTGGAGCATTCACAGCTTCTGGAGGCAGGTTGTTCCACTGGTTAATTGTTCTAACTATCAGGAAATTTCTCCTTAGTTCTAGGTGAAATTTCCTGACAGTTAGAACAATTAACCAGTGGAACAACCTGCCTCCAGAAGCGGTGAATGCTCCAACACTGGAAGTTAGAATGGTTCTCTGTTGTCCAAGGGCTCCAATGTTCATGCCAAAATGATTACCAAAGTTGGATTCCAGTGATGCAAAAAGTGCTGGCTGCATGTAGCCTATCACTATTCCTTTTCAGGCCAGCAAGTCACTCACAGAGGATAGGGACAAGTATTGGGTACTCATTTACATTGTGGAGAATTTGGAGGTCAAAAGGGAAAAAAGTGCCTCAAGATTGCAGACCCCTATTTGTCTCCCATACCCTGCAACCTCTCTCTCAAAATGATCACCAATTTGAAGTCCCACCTATTTTGGAACACAGGCCTCAGTATGTCAAGTAAAGCCTAGAGTAGCCCTCATGTAATGAAAAGTAAGATCTTGTTATATACAATTAACTCTCAATTTAATAAGTAGACTTTGAAGTTTTTTATTTGAGCATTTGCGTATACAACTGTTATGCTTCAGAAGCAGTTCATCATACATAGCAGTTGTGAACTTTTGTTTTCAATTCATTCAGGTGCTTATATTAAAATGCTGCTTTACACAGTCAGCCTCGCTGCTACTACTGGTACTTCCTGCTTACAAAGACCCTCACCAGTTGGTAAAGATTTTCCCAGTAGTCCTGAGTCATCAGCCGAAAGAGTGACAAGAAGGCCCAGCTGAAGGAATCAAAACTTGTATAGCCATAGTTGGGGTTTCTACCCGCTTTTACACACATATATCCTTCTGGACATTGACTAGAAAAAGGAAAAAATTGCCATTTTTAAAGATTATTCTAATCAATGTATGCTTTACTACAGATTGAGGCATGAGCAAGCAGCCTGTCAATTTTCAGTAGAATAAAAATTATACTCAATTGTAAATGTAATATGAAATCATCCAAGAATGCTAATTTACACACAAAGACTGACCACAATTTGATGCCCTCCATCAATTTTAATTTGGCAATGTGGGATGAAGAATTAAACCAGTTAAACCAGTTAAAATGCAAAACATTGGAGGGCATCAAGTTGAGAAAGGCTGATCTTTTTCAATACTAACTAGGGAAAATTATAGATTGGCTAAGCTAAATCCTTAAGGCAGTCTCATAAAATGCAATCCTACCAGATCAGTATCTCTTTAAATAACAGTTCATGACCAGAAACAAAGAAAGAGGTTTATTTTGAGTTTAGAAATATTTCCAAGGTTCAAGATAAATAAATAAAGTTAGGCTGATAAAGAGAAGTGGAGAAATCTTCATACCTCCTCCCATCTCCAATATTTACAGCTTAAATTTAGCTGCAAATATTTAAGCAGCAAATTTCTGCCCCACCCCCGTATTATCAAATTTGAAACACTTCAGATAGTTTTTAAAAAAGCTAAATTGTTTGCCCTTAACCATCCCTTCAACAGCAATTTCCAAATAAGTAATTTATTATATAATAATGTATATATAAAATAGATTATCCTCGTACCCTGCATCTGAACCGTTGCCACACAACAAAGCATCATTTTGTCCTTCCAAGAAGTAAAAGTGACCTATTTGGAAAGAGAATTGGGTACATTTACTTACACTAAAAGTTACTGCTAGCACAAATAAGCTAAACAGACTTGTGGAATCCTAAAGACTAACCAATATATTACAACAATGTTATAGGAGGAATACTGTGTAAGTCTACGGTAGTTAAAAATCAGAGTCTGTCAGGACTGTTTCAAACTAGCACATTTTATTAAAAGGCACCAGTTTTTCTGAGCTACAAGTCACTTCATAAATTGCTTAGGATGACTAAACTAATGTAAGATTGGAATAAGCATGCATCAAGAGAGAGCAAAGCGTGGTTATTCAGATGCAGATTGTATGTGAAACAGATTATAGTTAGGAACTGTAATGTGTTAAACACTCATTTGTTTGTAAAGACTTTGTGAAACAGCCTGACATATACTCTCTCATTCTATGATGTTGGAATCCTTTCTTTGCTCCAAAATAGCAACCTTGAGATCTGTAATCAGTATTCTGGGTGTTTAAAATGCTCTGATACTACTTTCTCCTTGTTTTAAGTCTTGTTGCCAAACCTGTCTCCATTAATTGTTTTGTACAAAATCTGATCTGTTTGTTCAATGTAGCACACAGGGGGACATTGCTCTCCACGAATGCGGTAGATCAGCGTTTCTCAACGTTTGTGTGAGGGCGACCCCTGTCACACAAACGTGCCGCGCATGTGCCGCCCCCACGCGCGCCGCACATGCGCGGCGGCGCCCCCCCACGTGACGCGCATGTGCGGCGGCGCCCCCACGTGTGATGCGCATGCGCGGTGGCGCCCCATGTGCGGCGCACATGCGTGGAGGCGACCCCACGTGCGGTGCGCATGCGCGGTGGTGCCCCGTGTGGCACGCATGCGCGGCGGCGACCCGAGGGGGGGAAATGGCGGATCGCCTTGTTTGGCGACCCCCATAAAATGGTCGATCGACCCCAAATGGGGTCGCGACCCATAGGTTGAGAACCGCTGCGGTAGATGCTACAACTGCCAGCAACGTCTAAAAAGGTCACACTGGAGCCCTTTGGATTTTTGCATCTGCTGGACTTGTGGTCCATCTACATGTCAGAACAAATCTGTAAATCTTTAGATGTTTTTCAATTGCATCCAATCATGGCAAAAAATTTTCCCCAACAACTTTTTTTCCCTGTGTATGAAGTTGCCTTCAAGTCATTGCTGAGGAGTACTTGCAATATATCATCTTTAGCTGTATAAATGTTTTCCTGTATTCTGACATTATCTAAGGATAGCCTTAAAGTGTACAGAAACTATTAGTCTTTGCCACCATTACTTTTCAGGGAAATGAGCAGACTGGTAGTGGTCTCTTCCACATGCCCTCCTCATCCTCGTATCAACGTGGCTTACTCATTATTGGCTGAGGAGAAAGCAAGCCTCCAGTTCAGTGCCAGACTGTCACAGAAGCCAGCTAAAGTCAGATCAAATTTGTTTTCATCATTGGAAAAATGGAACAAGCCCTCATTTGCAGGGGGAAACCTTCCGAGTGCCAAAGGGAGGCTGGTGACTTTCAAATGGCTCATTCAAGGTTCCTCTCCCCCAATCTCTAATCTCAACATAGGCCTCCCCAGCCATTCCTCTTTTGGCTGGATGTCAGAGTGTCTAGAACAGGGGTCTGCAACCTTGACAACTTTAAGACTTGTGGACTTCAGCTCCCAGAATTCTGGGAGCTGAAGTCCACAAGTCTTAACGTTGTCAAGGTTGCAGACCCCTGGTCTAGAACTTTTCTAGCAATTAGGGATTTCTCCCCCCCCCCTTGGAGACAGTGGTTTTCTGATCCACAGACTTTCTTCCCATTTTGGGAGGAAGATCCAAGTGACTGGGAGCAGAAGCAACGGAAGCATAATAGCCATGGTGGCAGGAATATCATGCTGGCATCACTTTTTGCTGATTGAAGAATGGCTGGATAGTATCTCAATTCAGCAAAAAGGAAAGGCCTTTTAAAGGCTCCCTAATCACTTTTTGGGGGCCTGTGTTCTACTAGACTAATATGGCAGTCTTTCTGGAATATGTCACTATTTTTTTTTTAAAAGTCATCCACAATATAAGATGGTACAAAATGTTATTTGCCACAATTTAAACCACAATTTAACACATTTCCTTAATGTTTGTATCATTACAGGTAGTCCTCAACTTAAAACAGTTCATTTAGTGACCATTTGAAGTTACAACGGCACTGAAAAAGTGATTTATGACCGTTTTCACATGTATGACCGTTGCGGCATCCCCATGGTGATGTGATCAAAATTCAGACGCTTGGCAACTGACTCATATTTATGATGATTGCAGTGTTCCAGGGTCATGTGATCAGCTTTTGCAACCTTCTGACAAGCAAAATCAATGGAGAAGCCAGATTCACTTCACAACCATGTTACTACCTTAACAATTACAGTGATTCACTTAACAAGCGTGGCAAGAAAGGTCGTAAAATGGGACAAAATTCATTTAGCAAATGTCTCGCTTAACAACAGAAATTTTGGTCTCAATTGTGAGGATAGGTCAAGGACTACCTGTAGTAGAAAAGAACAAAATCAATATTCCTTGGCTTGGAAACAGAATGAAGTAGCAAACCAACTACATCATTTGCTTGGAATGCACCATATCTGCTAAGGAAAACCATTGGAGGAAAGGTTAAAACATGAAGAATATAAGTTTTAAGGTTTGATTTTAACATTTTATGTTTTAACTAAGATGTAACTGTAAGTTGCCCAGAGTTACCCTATGGTAAGATGGGCGGCCAATACATTTGATAAATAGATAAAATAAATAATCAGTTCTTACTGTCATCACTGACATAATCGTCCCAGTTAAAAGTGGTCACTGTCGTATTTACATAGGTACCATTTTCTCCCATTGTGCTATTGAAGTAGGAAGTGACGTTTATTTCAAAAGTAGAATTGTCAGGTGGCCAAATCAGGCATTTGTGCCTCAGGTTCCCCATGAAAAGTTGGAGCCCTATTAGTGCAAATACACTCAGACAAAACACGGTCAAGATCATGACATCTGAGAGCTTCTTCACAGACTGAATGAGGGCCCCTACAATTGTCTTCAGGCCTGCAAGCCAAGAAAAAGAAAGAAGCAATTTTGATATAGTGTTCAAGACTTCATAAGAATATGTTGATTCAAGTACTTTTTCATGCGGTATGGCAATGAAATGAATTGTCTTTGTGAGTTTCATGAAAAGCCTGATTGCCTATGAACATGAATGAGTAGCTGTTAAGTATATGCTGATCTCCAATTTAATATACAAATAAAATAGATTTATATTTATAGATAAATATACATTGTATGTAATCAGAGAAACACTTGGCCTAAGCAAAACATACAATTTTGCTATCCATGCTACATCTCTATGGAAAAGCACATTATTTTCACTTGCTGTGTTTCTTGCTCAAACCTTTATTGTGAGACCACTTTGTAATGTATTCAACAATGTGCCTCAGTTTATGTTTATTAATAAGTGTATATGATATAAGCTATTTTAATGATACTGGATTAAATCTTATGGTATAGAACAGGTGATGGTTTGGAGAAGGCACACAACTTCTAGGAAATCCCCATGCATGGTCCATGCTATATTTTATGTTCTGCATATTTTACACATTATATTTTTTAAAAAGCATATAAACAACAGATTGCAAGTTTATCTGAAGTGCCTGCAAAAATGATAAAATTTGCATCAATATGAAAGCCTCACTATGTTGTCCTTTAATTTAAAAGTGGAAAGCTTGATGTCATAAGATGCAAATTGTATAGCCACTTACTGCAAATGTCTCATGCAAGAATGTGTTAAACACAAAGGCTGGACTGGAAATAAAATTTAAGCTGTAATATTTAAAAAGCAAAGAATCACATTAGACTGAAAGTAATGTTTTTGATTCTTGCTTTTTATTTTTGCTTCTACTGCGCAGTGAGCAACATGGCTTATGCTTAAAAAGATGATTTCATCTTCCATAGAGTTCTAAAAAGTCAGCCTCTGGGTTTAACCTAGCTCTCACCTGGAATGACTGATATTGTTTTCAATGCCCGGAGAACTCTGAATGTTCTCAACGCTGAGACATTGCCCAGGTCCACAAATTCTGTCACATATCTGTAATAGGGGAGTTCACATACAAACACAATGACAGCACACAAAAAACAGCTGGAAATACCAGGGGCCTGGCACTTCGTCAAGCCACTCCTTACCTGGGATTACAGAAATAGTTTTCAAAGCTCTCAATACTCTGAAAGTTCGAAGAGCTGAAACATTGCCTAGGTTTACAAATTCTGTTATATACCTGTAGAATTAAACCACAGTTATTCAGAATTGAGGCAGAGCTTAGGCTACTTGCTGGGGGTTTTTTAATTAACACCTTGTCTCTCTTTGCTGCAATTGCCTTGTATTTACTAATATGCTTTCCTGACCTTCAAATTAAATAAGTCAATGCATAAATCATATTGTTTTTTATTAGTGAAAATTAATTTGGGAATTTGAGAAGTGGTGTATTAATTTATTATAAGCAAGTGGCCAAACACACTATTTTGCTCTATAGCCCAGACTGCTTCTGACATGCTAAAAAGTAAATAACATGAATAAAGGAGATTAATTTATTGTTATACAAAACCTTCAAAATACTTTTCCTTCTTGAATAAACCTTTCTCCTGAGATCACTCTCTATTAAATGCTTCAAAAGAAAAATAATCAGAACACAATGAAACACTTACGCAAATGTTATAACTGTGAAATCCAACCAATTCCAGGGATCCCGGAGGAACGTGAAACCTTCTAAACAGAAGCCCCTTGCAAGAATTTTTATTAGTGATTCAAAGGTATAAATTCCAGTGAACGTGTATCTGAGGAAAATTTCAGCACAAAAATTAAAGGAAAACAATTGTTAATCGTACTAACTATATATACAACATTTTCAAAGGTACCAATTAAAAATTAAAATGGAGAAAATGCCAGAAATTTAAAATAGCAAATGATTCTGTTCTGGGGAATAAAGAAACGACCTGGTGATAATTCAAAAGGACAAAAAGCAGATGGGAGCAACAGTTCCACTTTATGTTATATTTAACAAGTGAAGTTTCTGAAGGAAGGAAGCTGCAAGGAATTAAAATCCAATATGCAAGGATAATACATAAAAGCTATAGCCAAGTAAATATAAGCTTGCAAATGATAGAAAATACATGTATTTCCACTAGTGAGAATCATGGCAATGGAAATACTTGAAATGAAGGTAGCACTGTAACTCACTGAATAGAACATAGGCTTTGCTTTCAGGCCCAGTTTACATCATATTTTCTTATGCATAAACTTAATGGGCACTAAATAATATAATCCAGGACAACTTACATAATTTGTAAGAAACAATGCTATGAAACTCATTATTGAAGTTTGCTTGCCATTAGAATAAGTCACTTGATTACTGTATATAAAAAAACAGTTTCTGGATTTGTTAACATGTTGAATGGAAATAAAATTTGACTTACTCTACATTCTTTGTCCATTCTGGAGGATTACTCATGGTCATAAATACACAGTTGGTCAAAATAGTGCACATAATAAGCATACTGAATAATGTATTAATAGTTAAGGAAAACATACTTGAAAACACTTCCTAAAAATTATCACATCAACAATGTATTTTGGCAATGTATTTTTCAGTTAACCTTTCTATATTTAGATAATGCTCAAAGAGAATTTCCAAACTTTTCTACATTGTTCCAGGTTTTTTTAAAGTAAACTTTTAAATAAGCTGAAATTAAAAAAATTAAATTGATTTTTATAGAAATGAAAGATGGAGAAAAAGTTGTTACCTCTTTATTAAAAATAAAATCAAGTAGTTGCAACAACATGTTGGGGCCAGTATAACACCCGAATACAAATACGTTGACAAGGCCACAAACAGAAAGGACAAGCAATCAGGGAAGAACATTTTGACATGGAGGAAAAATAGTATTCAGCTCAATATCCGCTGAATTTTTATAGAGCTAAACTATGCTCTATAACATTAATAATTCTGAACTATTAATGTTTTAAAGCTCAAATATAGTCTGACATTTTAGCTTCTGTAAACTGACTTAAAGTTAGATTTTATACTTTTCAAAGGCAACTTCGTATTAGCCCCACCCTTCTAAGGTAGTCCTGGTGGAATAATTAGATCAATTTTTTGTTCTTTTAGGGAGAATGCAAAAAACATTTGACTGGCTTCACAACAATTGCATGCTTATTAATGGAAGGACTTAAGAAAGTGGTGGTATGACGGTAAGAACAGCAATTTCAGGAGTGTCTGCAAGGGATCCAAAAAGTCAAAATGGTGGCCACAGTCAGGTGATTAAAGCCCTACCCTTTTTTTAATTGTGCATTGTGACACAGGTAAAAAAAACCAGGACACTGGTAGTATGGTCATCATCTTGACTTTTTTGCTTTCCTTCATGAGGTAATGGCTGAGTCATGCAAATAATAATTCAAGATTTGTGTCATCAACAGTATAGAATTCTTCCCTGTCACCATCTTACTAGAAATGTTTTCTTGTCTATGAGGCATTAAATGGCCACATGATGGCAGCATAAAATAAAACATGTTGAGAGCTGCTTTATTTGAAGGGTATTACATGTGCATTTCACCTTCCTAGTGGGTGCTCAGAACAGTATATAAGGGATTATTGGGATGAACTGCTAAATTAGCATACATAATTTCTATTTACATTTTGGTAAAGATTTTCAACGTGATGATTCTTAAGAAGAAAGAGGCTTCTGCCAAGGAGTATTGGGTTCCAGGACCAGAGGCCTTTTCTGAAAATTCATGGGGATGTAAAGAGTGGAACTGGGGGCCTCCTTCTTCTAATAAGAGAATCTTAACATTTAGTTTTTTATATTTATATATATATATATATATATATATATATATATATATATATATATATATATATATATATATATGATTGGAAATAAAAACAAAAACATGACTCTTGGGAATATTCATGTTAGTCAAATAGTAATGATCACCAAGAGAGTATCTATAAAAATAGAATTTTAATCCACCGAGCTTTCGTCAAACACAATTGACATCGTCAGGGTTAAAAGGTAAGTGCCGGGGGAGAGTCTTATATACAGCTGTTTAGTGTCTGCTTCCGGCTCCTGGAGCGTGTCATAGGCCCCAGCTGATCGGGTTGGGTCTCCAGCCTACATCCCACATTACTAGTCTGCATTCTGTCATAAGTTGTTTCAGAGTTGGGAGTCCAGATCTTTTTGCCTTCCTTGCTCATAGCCTCCCCCCCACCACCATCCCACACACGACTTCCCTCTACGAGTGGGGGTGGGCAATTATCACTTTCAGTATCCTTACAAGCCTCACGGCTATTTTGGTCTTGTTTATCCGTCTCCCGGAATTGTGCCCTAGATTCATAACCCCCGCCCATATTGTTCCTCCTCCCCTCCTTCTTCCCCTGGGTTCCCCTGTACGGTCCGCTGTTCGTTCCCACACGCTCTGTCTTGCGCACCGTCAAGATGTTTTTTGTCGTTGTCCTATTGTCAGTGGCTCGTTGTTCCATCCGTTGCCGGTGGGCAACGTTACCGTCCGTCCTTGGTTCTCCATTCCCACTCCATACGGTGCTCTTCCCCTTTAATTGTAGTCGCTGTTTCATCCCATAACTTTGCGCTGGGGGTGTCGAAGGGGGGTGCATTCTCCTGCTGGATTGCGATCGAGTTGTCATGCTGTGTCTGGTAGCCTCCTCATGGGGGGGTTCATCGTCGTTCTCCTCATCTCTACCGGACCTGGTTGTATTCCGTTTTTCTTCCAGTTTCTCGAATCTCCATCCATTTCCATTCCATCTCCATGCTGTTCCGTTCTCTACGGATCGTGGCGAATCCGTCCGCAGTTGTCTGCCAGGACTGGTCTGTAGTTGTTCCAAGAAGGGGGGGCCATCAGTGGGGGCTGCATTAATGTGATTACATGAGGAGGGGGGTCGAGCGATGTCTTCTGGATAGTAAGTCTTTGAATTAAAGATTTAATTAAAGGGGAAGAGCACCGTATGGAGTGGGAATGGAGAACCAAGGACGGACGGTAACGTTGCCCACCGGCAACGGATGGAACAACGAGCCACTGACAATAGGACAACGACAAAAAACATCTTGACGGTGCGCAAGACAGAGCGTGTGGGAACGAACAGCGGACCGTACAGGGGAACCCAGGGGAAGAAGGAGGGGAGGAGGAACAATATGGGCGGGGGTTATGAATCTAGGGCACAATTCCGGGAGACGGATAAACAAGACCAAAATAGCCGTGAGGCTTGTAAGGATACTGAAAGTGATAATTGCCCACCCCCACTCGTAGAGGGAAGTCGTGTGTGGGATGGTGGTGGGGGGGAGGCTATGAGCAAGGAAGGCAAAAAGATCTGGACTCCCAACTCTGAAACAACTTATGACAGAATGCAGACTAGTAATGTGGGATGTAGGCTGGAGACCCAACCCGATCAGCTGGGGCCTATGACACGCTCCAGGAGCCGGAAGCAGACACTAAACAGCTGTATATAAGACTCTCCCCCGGCACTTACCTTTTAACCCTGACGATGTCAATTGTGTTTGACGAAAGCTCGGTGGATTAAAATTCTATTTTTATAGATACTCTCTTGGTGATCATTACTATTTGACTAACTATATATATATATATATATATATATATGTAGGTCTTTGGTTGTTTGGGTTTTCTCCCGCGTAAAATTGGAAGTGTCTTGGCGACGTTTCGACGAAGTCCCATTCGTCATCTTCAGGCTGGTGTTTTCAGCTTCGTGCTTTGAGCAGCAATGTGTGGTCTTAGCTGTTTCTTCCTTTTAACTGCCAGAGGGGGTATGCGAAAACCTCAGAAAACATTCCCCACACAGGTACAACCAAGCTGTTCATTAAGAAATTTCTAGAACATAGCTATTGAGGGCAAGAATGTGGTTGTAAGGCTCAAAAGAATATTTGTGAACAACTATGACCTGGATTACTGAGAATCTCCTCAGACATACAGAACAAAACACAGGGAGCAGCTTAGTAAGAACATCTATTGAACATTCGTCATTTATACCGTGGATAACAAGGAGACATCCTCATGGTTTATTGGATGAATACAAAATGCAGCATCTTACAAGTTATAGATGAGTTTCAGCAGACATAACTTCTAGACTGCTCCAAATTTATATTTTGAACATCTGTTTGTCTGAAAATAACTGTGAAAGATCTAATAAATCAATTTATATATAGCACGGATCCTGAGAATTTAGCAGAAGATTCAGGGATATTTTTCAAGAGGGACACTCAGTTCACATGGAAATTTGATTTGTCTTGATATGCCTAATTAGAGCCCCAGGAATTGGAAATGGCTCTTCCAATATAAACAAAATCTCCCATTTATCTCACTGCAGGGAAAGAACGATTGGCAGATGAATTCATTTTAAGAAAAGGTGCATATCCTTATTGATTTTACTGAGAACCTCTTGATAACCATCTAAAAATCACAGGGTCAAGAGTTCAAATCACTGTGTTTAGTATAATAAAGCAAAATTCAAAAGCAGGATCAGAGAAAGAAAGGCTGCAGACAAGAAATCATGGGGGAAAACAGAAATTAAAAAAGGAAGGCTTTTTAACATCTTTTTTTTAAAGCTGTACACTTCATGAATGGCTGAAGGGCAACATCAGCAGAATTGGGTAAATAAATAAAATAAAAAATGAAGAAATGAGTAAGAGGCAAAAAGAGAAAATGCACGGGCAAAGGAGAAAAATAAACAAACAAAGCCTCCATAGTTTAAATAGTCAAAATATTGAAAACAGAAATAGCATTATTTCAATCATTATGAATTAAGAACTCGAAAAGGATATGAATGTACCAAAATCTTGATAGCTATTTTTCTAAGAGGGTTGAAAGGAGTTAACAGGTATACAGCAGATGTGGCACTGAATCGGAATATTGCCTTCCCTCTATTCAACACTATAAATGTCTAGAAAAAAAGTAACAATAATGGAGAAAATTGGATTCAGAACCTGTAAAATGGGTTCTGCATTGGTCTGTCACATATACAAAAGAATCTATTAAAGCAGCAGTTACAAATATAGAAGGTAATCTTTCTGTCCCACTATCTAATCTTGTTCAACCAACATGATTCGAAGTGGATTCATCAACTAAGCAAATACTGTCTCTAACATGGAGCCAGACATATACAACTAGATAAAAATCTAAATATTGTACACTATATTCAGGAGCAAAACCTAGATTCTGACAGCATGAGAAAAGCTTTTTCTTTCTGTGGTTTTAATTATAGACTAGTTTCTCAACAGCTTCAGTTTCGGTCAGTAACTCATCTGTTCCCTCCCCCCATCGCCAACATTTTAATCTATTGAGATCAATGGCTTAGACAAGTCTAGTAACACTATAGAGTTCTTCACTACCAAATAAGGAAAGCTCATTAAAAAACTTCTTTTTATCAGGACATGAGTCTCAATAACTAAACAGTATTGTAAGCTGCACTTGGTAACTTTTCTATGCCTGGGAAAGCTGCATTAAAAAAAGATGATATATGGTGCACCATGCTCGTACTTCACTTTGTAACTGTGATTATATTTTAAAAAATTGTTATGCCTTCCAAAATCTTTGTAAAAATTATGTAATATGTGGAGGGTCCTGCAAATCCAATAAATGCAGATAGGGACTCTAATTTTACTAGAGTTTGGGAAAATTTATTTTGAATATATTCTGCTTTCTATTTTGGGTTCCCCTCAAATTCCAGCAATTTCAGGACATACTCTGTATTTTGTTAGCATAGGATAGGGGAACTGTAATTGTGTTCCCCATTGAAAGAAATGAAGAAAAACTGTATATAATATCTGCAGAGATTTATTATTTGCTGTGTAGAATTGATAAGTTGGAGCATATCTATTTGCTGGGAAAGGGATGTAGTAGATATAGCAGTTGCTTAATCTTCAGAAAGTCTCCTGGTAGCTCTCATCCATGAATTAGAACTCATTGGTATGAATTTAAAGTTACAATTATCTTAATAAGAAATTGACAGATGGTAAGTTCAGTATCATCTGCATATTGATAGTATCTAACTCCCAATGAATCAATGACCTCTCCTCACAGTCTCCTGTCTATAATGAACAGCAGCGGAGGAAGGATATCCACAAGTGACTACCTGATGGGCTGATTTCAATTCCCCATCCATCACAGATTGGATCTGCTCCCTCATAAAATAAAAGACAGCACATCCAACTCCCAGTCCTCTAAGCAGCCTAACAGAATGACCTGGTTAATAGTATCAAATACCCCCAAAAGATATAATAATACTAGAATGGATGCATTCCTTAAAAGCGTTGAAGGTTATCTACCAGAGCAAAATGCATTTTTATTCCACAACTGAATCCAAACTGAGGATATGAGCACCCTATTCACTCATCAGAGTTCACAGATCAAAAGGAGTCCTAGATAATGTTGCTAGCCATGCTTCGGGCATCACTTCTGATTCTGCCCGTGAATAATCAAGATTACAGAGAATGTGAGCAATGTTAATTGCAAAATCTGGTGACAAAAAGTCACAAGACTTTTTCCTGCTCGTATTTCTCTATTAGGAAGCACTCAGATTTAAACAAGTTCCTCCCCACACTTAAAGTCACAGGTGGTAGGCTTGACCATACAGGTAATCCCTGATTTACGACCATTCATTTAATAACCGTTCAAAGTTATAAAAATTATTTTAAAAATGCAAAGACTGACCCTTGCATTCATGACTGCCACAGTATCCCTCTGGTCATGTGATCAGAATTGGCAACTGACATGTATTTAGAATGGTTGCAATGTCTTAGAGTCATGTGATCACCATCTGTGCCTACCCAGGGGGCTTCCAACAAGTAAAATCAATGGGGGAAGCCAGATTTGCTTAACAACTGTGGTGATTCATTTAACAATCGTGGCAAAAAGGTAATAAAATTGGGCATGATTCACTTATTAACCACACTGCTTAGAGAAAGAAGTTCTGGATCCAGTTATAGTGAGAACTACCTGTAGTTCGTACCTACTTTCCTTTCACTGGCACTTCAATTCTAGCTTGTAACATATCTTGTCCCATACATCCTGATAAAACAAGGAACACCCCCACCTCCAATCCCAGTGTCAACCAGTATAGAAAAAGGCTGCTTGGGAAGAATCATACTAAGCATCCCTTCATGCCAGAAGTCCACCAGGCACTCAGTGAAACAGCCTAACAGATCATATGAAACTCCCCAAGAACCTTCTGGAATCCATCAAGGTCCATTAGATCTTGAGGAAGACCTTCTTCATGGGCCAATTTTCCTTGTAGAGTGTATGAGCAGTGAAAATGCCATCTGGACCAGGAAATGATCTGATGTGTTAAAGGACTCAATCTAATGTCATCCATATCCAGATCACATACCAATTATTCTGAGGTAAAGATGGGGTCAAACACACGTCTGCTGGGGTGTTTATGTCTATGATCATATGCTTAAAAAAAACAATCCTAGTTGTTCTATTCAGTGAAGTTAAAAAGCCATTATACCATTTTTATCTTGAAAGAGTTGCTCAAATCTCAAGAACCCAGGAACCAGGAATTGGTTTAGACAAGATTTATAGGCATTCAAACAATAATACAAACATCCTGCTAACTGAGTTGTATGAAAAAGAGCTTTACCTTTTACTTTTTGTTTAGCCCTTAACAAAAGAGCTCTACTCAGAATAAATAAGTGGAATGAAATTTTGGAAAGTACTCATTGAGCAGGATTTGATATGTATCCTCTGAGAATTTAAAAACATGTATCTTGCTGCTGTTACACAATTCCTTATAGAAGAAATTATAAGGCAAAATAATGTTCTGCTCTTAAAGCTTACAGTGTCCTTCTCCAAATGCTGCATTAACATATGGAATTCCCAGAAAGGTTGACCTTACCTTTCTGGCTCTGAATTTTGGGAGATAGGCAGGTGAAGAATAGCAGGCTGTAGATGACCAGGCCAAAGAATTATTTTAATTGTAATTAAATTGAAAGCAGGAAGACGGGATTATTTCATAAGATTTATTGCCTGCAAGAATATCTTCCCATTTTTTGTAATAGCAAATCAGAGTCCAGTTGTTCAAATGCTAAAGATCTAACAGCAACCCAGATAGCTGTAGGATAGCACAGAAATCAAATCATTTTTGTTAAATATTTTTTTCAACCCTTTTCCTTCAGATGTGTGAATACTAAAGATATAATAAACCGCTTCACATATAATGAGGTGAGGGTGGGGAATAACATATTTACAATACTGTAATATACCCCCTACGTAATGCTTTATTTGTGAGTATAAATGAACAAAAGTAGTAATCCTTACTTATGTGCTAATAATTTGAGGTATAGAAGTTATCCCTCCAACCTACTGGCTAAAGAGGACTCTGCAGAATTTCCCTCCTCCCAAATTGTTTGTTAAACTCCCAGCAGAGGACTCACTTTTTTGTTAAGGTAATAGGGGTCCAGGTCCTCCAGTGGCTCAGACACCATCCCAGGAGGTATGTCTCCATATATAAAGGGCAGTGATTTGCCAGCTTCCAAATCGCTATTCGGTTTTGGTCCATTTTCATCATCATCAACGTCTTTGCGCTCTTGCTTGGACTTCTTAGCCTTTTCCTCGGCAATGCGTTGTTCAATAGCTGCCAGTGACTCTTTCGTAAAAAAGTGGAAGCTGTCAGGTCCTGGTGGTACCAGCACTGACTGTGCCATCTTTTCATCCTGCAGCTCTTAATTACAGTTGTGCCCCATGCATAAAAAAATGCTAGGATACAGAAAAACATATAAAAAGATTGGTATCATTCTCTCTGGATCAACACAGAAATGCTTGCTTATTATTTTTTTCAGAGAAGTCGATTGGCTAGATCAGTGATGGTGAACCTTTTAGAGACTGAGTGCCCAAACTGCAACCCAAAACACACTTATTTATCACCGGGTGCCGGGTGGGTGTGGAGGTCATGGGAGATTGGGTGGGTGTGGCCAAGTTGGGCATGATCACCTCGATGTAGCTTGTGGGAGGGACGCCTGTGGGGGCTGGGCATGGTTGGGGGAGATCCAGGGGGTCTCTGGCAGGTGGGGCGGTGGGCAGAAGGCTCATCCTGCTGGGTGAGGCGAGGCAAGGCAAGGCAAGGCAGGGCAGGGGTGCCATTGTCGCAGGGCAAGGCGAGGCAGGGGCCAGGGCAGCTGCTGTTTGACACCATCAGCCTCCGCACACAGAGGCCAGCAAGCGCATGGGTGCTGGGATTTATCCGGCCACGTAGGACCTCGGCGAGTTAGCGGGCGGCTGGTTGAAGAGGACGGTTGCCATCTCTGGGGCATGGCGCGTGTGCCCACAGAGAGGGCTCTGAGTGCCGCCTCTGGCACACGTGCCATAGGTTCACCACCACTGGCTAGGTTACAAAAGAGAGAGTAGGGCTTTCTTGCCAATTTATTCATTGATTTTGTTAGCAACCAGTTCTCTTCCTCTTTCTTATATCATTTAAACATCTAAGAGAAAGGAAATCAAATTCATTCTCAAGAAAATCAGCTTTCTTATGATCAGGAATGCATTGGCAGTGATGTAGAGAATGCTCTGCGCTGAACACATTATTTTCCTATTTTTTAAAATAATAGTGTACAGCAGCTTTGTTTGCAATCCGCAGCACAAGTGAGCAGCCATACTTTAGTTTATAATGTTGTGTAAATCCAATCAGAGTACTTTATTAGGACATTTCCAAATACCAGCATTTCTGTCTGTCTGAATTTAGTATAAAATGCAGATCTATTTGATGATTAGAACATGACAAGCACAGTGATATTTATATATCTGTAACTGCCAGAGAACAGCCAGCCAATAAATGATCACAATAATTCCAGACCACTAAATGAGTATCTCACTTAATGGTTTCTAGCCCAAGATGAAACACATTTTCTTTACCCTTATCAAAATAAATTGCTAGTGTTCCTTGGTTTATTCACCCTCCATGGCAAACCTCTGTCGTATTCAACATTTCCAGTGCTGACATAACAGCAATTTTCTGCATATTCCTTTGCCTACCACCATACTATTATAATCAGATCCTAGAAGATGGGAAATGGGGTGGATCAAAATCTCTCCAATTAGAACTGAGATAATCCTTATAGATGTAAGGCAGTAATGCCATCGAATTTTGCAATGAACATGTCATTTTCTCTCAGATCGAATACTACTATCACAGGAATATATCAACATCGCTCAATAATTTTGGTATCAAATCATGAGATCAATCTTGCATGAGAATTGACACTGTGTGTCTTTATCCAGATCTCAGCTAATGACAGGCCACCACCCTGAAAAACTTATTTAAATTCAGTCAGTGAGAGACAAAATATAATATAAAAGTGAAATGTAATAAAACATATTATTAATTTGAGACACACTGTTTCTGGATGATGCCATAAATAGAAAACATTTGTTGGATCTAGTAGATCCACTGATTCCAACTGGTCTGCTCTGCAAATGTTTGTTAGATCCAATATTCTGTTTATTCCATTTTGTACAAATGGTATTTTGATAAAAATACCATTTATTCAGGTTTAACTGAGTTACAGACTGCTAAAATTCAAATACAGAACTCTACATTCACTCAATGTGCTTAACTGGTTACTACCCTGATCCGTATACTGATTAACAATAACCCAACCAAATTAGCTAGATTTGCATAACATAACCCATGAAAAAAGTAACCATGCTTAGCATGACAAGCAAATGTAGCTGTTAGATCTTTTCTAACCTAGTTGTGTGTGTTTTGAGATCACAACTACTGTCAGTAATCTTTCTTAATTACTGGGCAGCTGGTGAAAGCAGAATATTTTTGAGCATAAGCAGATAAACCAATATTCAACTTTTACTCCTCTCACTTTAAAACAGTGGTTCTCAACCTTTCTAATGCCATGACCCCATAATACAGTTCCCCATGTTGTGGTGACCCCCAACCACTTATACATCACTGGGTGCCAGGGGCATGGCCAAAGAAAAGGGGGAAAAATGGCAGACAGCCTTGTTTGGCGACCCCTGTGAAATGGTCGTTCGACCCCAAATGGGGTCCCGACCCACAGGTTGAGAACCACTGCTTTAAAACAAAGTTGCATAATTTGAAGGCAATAATATTACAGCTTAAATACATCAGTTAATGTATCCACAGATCACATCTAATTAAACTAACAACTAACCTTAGTTATTACTTAGGGAATCTGGCTAGATCTTAGCTAGTACTAAAAAGCTTCCTGACATAAACTCAAATAATACATGCTGAATACTCAGAATCAGAAGGAAAGCTTGTCAGATCATGAAAAAATATAACTGACACAGGAAGAATACCATCCCAAGAGATTGGGAATTCATAGCTAATATTTTACCAAAGTCAAATGTAAATTGGTGTAGTGGACTAGAGGGCGGACCATGACTTCTAGTCTTGCTTGAGGCTCAAATCCAGCAGGGTGACCTTGAGTCAGTCACTCTCTCTTAGCTCTGAAAAGAAGGAGGCAAGGGCAAACCACTTTTAAAATCTTGTTAAGAAAACTGAAGAGACTAGGCCAGACAGTCGTGAGGAGTCAAAACTGATTTGAAGGCAAAAATACACATATCTATTTCACCAGTTGGCTGAATCATCAATCGTTTTAAAAGAAACATTTACATATTGGAGTCCAAAACTAAGGGAATGCACCTCAGGGCTTCTTTAGCACCGTAACTACAGTCATTTAAGATCTCTGAAAAGCCTCATTAATTTAGTGAGCTGGAGGCTGTTACTGTCACCTAACAAAGGCAGTTGTGTGTTCTTCCCCAAGGAGCTGCAGTAATATATAGTATCTGGAAATCTGGCCTGGATCCTTGAGATTCCCTGCTTTAATACACTATGTCATTTTTTCCTCAAAAACCCTTTATGAAATTAGGAGATTGTCTGGAGGGTGGATAATCAAATCCTTTCTTATGACTTATACTTTTTGCTTACAAATGTATTTTATTTTTCCAGTTTGGAAAAGAGAATATTTTTTTTTATCCTTCTTCATGCCCCTGCTGATTTTTTTTTAATCTAATGCAAAAGATATTTTAATTTTTGCCATGTTGTTTTTATTAGAAATTGGAATAAACAAAATAATTGTAAGCAATGAAATAGTTGCAGGGACAAAGACAAAAATGAAAAATTCTAGGACATTATTTGAAGAGACTAAAGGCTAAGTTGGATAAAAGTAAAAAGAAGAACCCATCTTAAGAACTTCAAGGCAAGAATTCTTCCTCAAAGAACATTTTACTCAGGAAACAAAGAATCGGCACTACATAGTTGAACCCAAAACTAGTTTCCCTTCCCCCGGATACAAAGTAACAAATTGCAATTCCCACGCCCAATAAGCAGTCATGAATCACATTCTCCAATTAGCCTGAAACCTGGATTTTCTCTCCAGCTCTTCAGCCCACCAAAACATTATCAATCCGTCCTTGGGTTCCCACAAAGCAGTGTTTATTATCATGGCTAGCTGAGCTCAAGCATTCATCCCAACCCCTCTTCTGCACCTGATTTCTAAATAGAAGAAAAAGCATGTTAAAAGCAAAGAGATCAGTTGTCAGAGCGGGAACATCCAATGTTTACAGTGTTGATAGTTTGTTTATTTGACCAGGGTTAAAATAAATGATGATGATGATGATGATGATGATAATAATAATGTTGGAAGGGACCTTGGAGGTCATCTAGTCCAACCCCCTGCTCAGGCAGGAAACCCTATACCATTTCGGACAAATGGCTGTCCAGTCTCTTCTTAAAAACTTCCAGTGTTGGAACATTCACCACTTCTGGAGGCAGGTTGTTCCACTAGTTAATTGTTCTAACTGTCAGGAAGTTTCTCCTTAGTTCTAGGTTGCTTCTCTCCTTGATTAGTTTTTATCCGTTGCTTCTTGTCCTGCCCTCAGGCACTTTGGAGAATAGCTTGACTTCCTCTTCTTTGTGGCAACCTGAGATATTGGAATACTGCTATCATGTCATCCCTAGTCCTTCTTTTCGTTAAACTAGACCAGTGATTCTCAACCTTTCTAATGCCGTGACCCCATAATACAGTTCCCCATGTTGTGGTGACCCCCAAGTGGGTGTGGCCACCAATAAGAGGGAGTAGGACAGCTAGGGAAAAGGGAAAAAAATGGCGGACAGCATGGTTTGGTGACCCCCGTGAAATGGTCATTTGACCCCAAATGGGGTCCCGACCCACAGGTTGAGAACCACTGAACTAGACATACCCAGTTCCAGCAACCGTTCCTCATATGTTTTAGCCTTCAGTCCCCTGATCATCTTTGTTGCTCTTCTCTGTACTCTTTCTAGAGTCTCAACATCCTTTTTTACATCATGATGACCAAAACTGGAGGCAGTATTCCGAGTGTGGCCTTACCAAGGTGTTATAAAGTATTAACACTTCATGTGATCTTGATTCTATCTCTCTGTTAATGCAGCCTAGCACTGTGTTGGCTTTTTTGGCAGCTGCAGCACACTGCTGGCTCATATTTAAGTGACTGTTGACTAGGACTCCAAGATCCCTTTCACAGTTACTACTATTGAGCAAGGAACCACCTATACTATACTGTACATTTGGTTTTTCTTGCCTAAATGTAGAACCTTACTTTTTTCAGCCATTTACAAATCCATCTGGTGGTGATGCTGTCTAACCCACATTTTTCTATCTTATCAAGTAGTAGGTTGTGATCTACTTTATCAAATGCCTTACTGAAGTCCAAGTAAATTATATCCACAGCATTCCTCTGATCCACTAATTTTGTCACTTGGTCAAAGAATGCAATAATATTTCTCTGGCATGATCTGTTTTTGATAAACCCATGTTGGCTTTTAGTAATGACTTTGTTTGCCTCTAAATGTTCATTGATTCGTTGTTTGATTATTTGATTATGTATTGTTATCTTTGGTAATCCTTAACAGATTTTTGCTGACCGGGACTGAACAATGAGACTTTAAGGATTTGTTTCTAGATAAGAGATGGGATATGGAGAGAAAAGATCATTTGTTGTATTTTAAGAGAAACTGATAAATTACTAAAATTGTTTATACATGTTATAAGGAAAGAGGAAGACATTCTGTATATATTTCTTTTCTTTTTCTTTACTATATTTTTATTTTTTCTTTCTTTTCTATTTTTCTTTCTATTTTTTTTTCTGGACTTTCTATTTTTTCTTTTTAATCTTCTTTTTAGTATATAATAGTTTTAATTCTTTAATTGTAATGTTTAATAAAATTACCATAAAAAAGAATAGTCAATCTTTATCGGAGCACGGTGTGTGGTTACCAACTCTTGCCAACATACCACCACTGTGTGAAATGGAAGTATACTGAGGGGGAATCAGCCCCTTCAGTTCTGAGGTAACCACACTCAATGACCAGATGCTGAACTCTCTCCTTGATGTCATTCCCTCTCCCCACTATAAATGGGTTTCTCCCACCACACCAGCATTCTGGAGGAACCCAAAGAGGATAGAAGGGAAATCTTCACCCAACACAGGTCTGGCTAATTACAGAAAGGAAACCAAACAAAAAAGTCGGGTCATTAGCTCAACCCAGCTGAGATGGGCTATAGCCGGCAACTGGCCAATTGAAACAAATGTCAACTTTATGAGAGGCACCAAAAGAAAGTTTCCATTCTCATAACAATTTAAATACAAAAGAAAAACAAACCCCTAACATAATTCTAACTAAGCTAACTTTCCCCCTGGGTTGAGATCACCCCTCTCTCACCACATACAAAACTCTTCCTACAACAAACTTGAAAGAACCCTCTTCTTTTCCTCTATTGGCTCTCAGGGCATATCAGGCTGGCTTGTTCTTCAAAGGAAGAAACTGCTGTGCAGCATCTCTTTAGCATGTCCCTGCAAAGGGGCATCAGTCACTGCAACTGTATCTCTGGGGACTAGATAGTGCAGAGCAGTCAGAGAATGTGGGGCATAGCCAATCCTGACCCAAAACTTTCCTTAGCAAAATCTTCTTGCTACACCAGCCAGGATTGTAGGGGGTCTAAATAACACCGATGTACAGTATATCAACTGTGTAGGAGCAGGAGCCGAGACGGGCCACACACTGGCAGCTTCTGAAATAAGCTCCCAGCTTGCAACAGGCTTTACCACTTCCGGCTTAACCCGATGCCCCCCCCCCCAATGGCACCCAAAGGCAAGAAAAGAACATGGACTAGCCCTAATAATTTTACTGGGAACTATAAGACTAACAAAGCAGAAAACAGATGAGTATTAACTCTTATCTCCTCATTGCAGAGGCAATTAAAGTGTAAGTAATGGATCCACGGTCCCAGAACCCCCTTCACCTTCAAAGACTGTAGTAATGCAGGATTCAGTCAGAAAAAACTGAGAGAGAGAGAGAGAGAGAGGGAGGGAGGGAGGGAGGGAGGGAGGGAGAGAGAGAGAGAGAGAAAGAGAGAGAGAAAGAGAAAGAGAGAGTCCAATAACCAAATTGGTCAAGATGTAGAGGCAAAAGTCTATTTTTAGGTAGTTCTTGGTTATCACTATTCTTTATGGTAGAGATAATATGTTACCATTTGATATTGTAAAGGATGATTGAAACTTGTTCAACAACAGGAGAGTTCTCTCCTCCTCTCCTCCTCTCCAATCTCTCCTCAGTCACATGGCTGTCTGAAGAAAAAATGAGAATATGGATAATATAATCTTATATTTAATTTGTGCCATTTTCTAAAAAAGCTGATACTCACTTTTCATTTGTTAATTAATAATGTGAGGAATACAGTGGCTGTATTTGGTGATCATATGAAGTTATTTAGAATATTTAGGCCATAAAAGAGTTAGCAAAGAAAGCAAAAGTGGAGAGTGGGTATTTAAATAATAAACATGTTTATTATTAATCTAACAATGGTTCACTAATAAATATGGAAGTATGAAGAGCTTATTGTTTGTTTCATAATATTAAAACCTAGTGTCATCCAATGAAGCTAAGGATAGAGAAAGAACACGTTCAAGCAGTCAAATGGTCAAACTTACTTCCCAAGCTTATCACCATAGTGAACAACTTTGATGGCTTTGTCTAACTCAGATGTATAGGAGATAAAATTTAACTAGTTCAACTTAGAGTGATCCCTATTATCTCCATGCCATGGTGCACTTATAGACAGACTTTCAATCCAAGATCCAGTGCAAGACTTCCCAAAGTGACCACTTGGAGCTAGCTGGTGATGGGGCTAATAGTGCATAGGCCCAATTTAAGCACTGATTAATATTGATAAATTATTTTTAAAAAGAGCCCAAAACTAGCTGGCCAACTGTGAGCATAATGATAGGAGTTCCATTTATTATTTCAGGTACTAGGATATACAATGCAGAACTGCACAAACTTACAATCTTTTTTCTCATTGGGGTTGGAAAACATATTTTTCGGTTTTGCTGTAAAATCAAAATTGTAAAGCATTAAAGAAAGAGGTAAATTTTAGTGCTTCTTAATGGAAGTACTTTGCATGGCTCTCTAAAAATGTCTCCTGAAGTTCATTAAGACTAACATGAAAAGTTAGACATACTATTTTTTCCAAAAGCACAAATGATATGGTTCTGAATACCACAGTATAAGAAACATGAGCATATTCTGTTATGTTCCTTTGTTTATCTCCTGTTGTATATATGCTATTTTCTTCATAGGTTTTTTTATCTCTATTTCTGGTACATGGGAATTAAATAGGATTTTCAACCAGTAAGTTATTATGAAGCAGTTCATAATATGGTATGTCTCCAAACTGGCAAAATGTATGTTACCAAATTGGATGCAGCCTGTTTTGTACATACTGTATAGCAATGGGTAAATAGCTTTTAAAAAAGTAAATGACAAGTCCAGAAGGATTTACAGACCTTGGGAGAGGAAGACTTTAATACTTTGCATTCGGCTAGATTTCTGATCAAGACTGAAGGCACTATACCAGTGGTGGCGAACCTATGGCACGCATGCCAGAGGTGGCACTCACAGCTCTCTCTGTGGGCACGTGCACCGTCGTCCCAGCTCCGCCTCTCCCTGCAGCCCCCTCCTCCGCAACAGCCCCCCCGGAGGAGAGTCACGCCCGGGCATGGCCCGCGCGGAGCAGTGCAGCCAAGGACATGGCAGCTGGGCAGCGGGGACAAGACTCCGCCCTCACGCCGTCACACACCGTTGATGCTGCAGAGCGTGGGCAGAGGGCGTGGCCATGGTTCTGCTGGGCCGCCTGGGTGATCTGCGGCTGGCCGTGGAGGCAGTGAATGGCCCTGTGGGTGTGCAGGGGCAGAGTGGGTGGGACCCAGGGTGGAGCTGGGGGAGGGTGGGCAGGGGCAGAGTGGATGGCGTGGAGCAGGGACCAGGTGTGCGTGGGGCCATTTTTTGAGCATTCAGTCTCTAAAAGGTTCGCCATCACTGCGCTATACCCTGCTATTTGAATTAAGGGCAGAGATGCATGTTTTCTTTTCTGAATACAAATAATGGGTCTGGCCAAAATGACTGATCTGTAATAGATCACAACAAGGGATGAATACACCATGTCAAGGTGGCAGACTAGATTGGTCCCCTTTGCTCGTAATACACACACACACACACACACACACACACATACACATTCACACAATTAATATTGATATAAATGGCATACTTCCTAGTTGAGTGGTACCAGAATTTTTAAAAAGTGAAGAAACAAAATGATGACAGCTGAACATAGATTATAGAATGTCCCCCATTCAATCCTTAGCATCTTCACTTGTATCTAGGGAAATCTAGATAGATCACCTTAAATTAAATAGATCAGGGACTAGACTCAAGTTATAAGGCAAAATCACTTTCTTACAGAAGTGTAATACCTGCAAGGTTTAAAATCAGCATGGAGCCTGAAGTTCATTTTGAAGTCATCACTGATAGATCCAGGAAGTAGATGTGATGCCACAACATGCCTCTGAAGTATATTGGTGAACAAAACAGCTTATTGATTTTTAGCTGCACTTCCTTCAGCTTCTGGTTGGTTAGAGACAAACTAGCATGCTTGTGTGCCTCTGTACAGATCTGTTTCCTGTTGCTTTGACAACAAAGCATGGCAAGGACAGAAGAAGGATAAGGATAAAGTGAGGTGACAAATGATGGCTTACATAGCAGATCAGAAATGGAACTTTATAGTTCACAGTCAAAGGAGGCAGGGTACCACCCTTGAAAAGAGACTTCAATATTTGCATCTGCCTAAGCAGTTCTCGGAGCTATCCAGTTGGCATTACAAGCTACGGACCTGTTTTTCTCCATGGTAATCAATTTTCAAGAATTACACAGGAACAGTAATTATTAATGTATGGACTGGTGTTTCTATGGCAGTCATGGTTGAGTCTTTTCATGTGTGCTTATTTCTGCATGGATAATTTTAAAAGCACTAGGCAACAATGCATTTGCACATCTGCATGCTCTCTTCTAACTAGAGAGAAAAATGGCCTGCTTTCTGACTAGTGGTCAAAGAAAGCAGAGGCCCATCAATAGTAAGGATGATTTAGAAGATGAGAAACAATGAGGACTGGAGATGTTGCTGAACTACAATTTGTGGAAGATCTAGCCATTATGGCCACAAATGAGGGTGCTTTTTAATTATCCGGTAATAGCTGGAAAATCACAGATTCCCCAAGCTAGATAAAGGAAGCTAATTTCAATTTATGCTGGTTCCACAGTTTGGCTGTAAATGTTCATGGATCATATTCTGGAACAATAAAAAACAGGTTATCAGCACTAGGCTGATCTACTCCACAGCGGAATACTGTGCCCCTATATGGCTTAATAGTTGCCATACTAGTAAGTTAGACGCCAGACTTAACAACACCATGAGGACTATAAGTGGATGTATTAAAACCACTCCAACTTACTGGCTTCCTGTTCTGAGCCATATAGCACCACCAGCTTTACACAGGCAAGAGACAGTAGTGAAAGAATACAGAAAAATTGGTATGCTACCAATGCATACCAACCTTCCTCATTTATCAGCCAGAAAACTTCAGGAAGCCCCCATTGGCACTTGTACAACATCTGTCAACAACTTTAACATTGATTCCTCATAGAAAGCCAAATGGGTCACTGAACACTCAGATATAGGAAGACATATAAAAGGCCCCACGAAAAAGGTGCCAAGCTTTGAACTACCACACCAGCAATGGACAATCTTGAATAGGAATCGTACATCACCCAGTATCTGCCGGGACTCTCTATATAAATAGGGCATTGTATCCTCCCCTCAGTGTGACTGCAGGGTCCCACATCAAATTGTAGATTACTTCATGACCAGCTATGAGAGCATACACCGGTCCAGCATCTGGTTTTTTCCATATAAACAATACTGCTCTTCAATGGCCTAGACTTTGGCATTTGAACATAGATCTTTTTATCATTTATATTTCACTGAGTTTTATTGATCTAGGTGAAATGTTAATATATATTGCTAGTCCATGTATGATATGCCATATGCTAAATAAATAAATATTGCCAAAATATATTTTTTACTATTTTTACTTTTTTTATTTATAAAGAATTCCTTAAGACAACCAGTCTCAACTCTTCAAGATCCATTTTAAAACAGAAATTGACCTAGACTTCCTTGACTATTTTCTAATCCATTCCAGATATGTGGGCAGGGCTGACTGAACCAAAAGTGGCTAGCGGAGGAGTAGAGCTAAAAATCCTAGCAAAATCCTTCTTCCTGCCTTATTTACTGCCTTGAAATGGCATTTTCCTACCCAAAGAAACAAGGGATTTTTTAGAAGCACTTAGAGTGATTAGCTTGCATAAATCACCATCATATGACTGATCCCGCATGACAACTCAAAACGTAGATTTGTCATGGATTCCTACCAATGAGAACGTACTTTATTCTCCACAGGTATTCCTTGATTTACAACAGTTTGTTTAGAGACTGTTCAAAGTTACAATGGCACTGAAAAGAATGAGTTATGTCCATTTTTCAGAGTTATGACTATTGCAGCATCACCATGACCATGTGATCAAAATTCCGATGCTTGGTAACTGATTCGTATTTATAACGGTTCCACTGCCCCATGGTCACACGATCACCTTTTGCGACCTTTTGACAAGTCAACGGGGAAGCCAGATTCGCTTAACAACTGTGTTGTTAACTTAGCAACTGCAGTGATTCACTTAGCAACTGTGGCAAGAAAGGTCATAAAGTGAGTCAAAATTCACTCAACAAAGGTTTTGCTTAACAACAGAAAGTTTGGGTTCAATTGTGGTCACAAGTATTCCGTTATCATTCGCCAATAAGCACAAACAACATCCTAAGTCCAACAATGCAGAATGTGAATATTAGGAACAAAGCAGCCTTGTATCTCAGAAATAGTCCTAAGAAACTCTGCAATTTTTCATACTGGATTTGGATCAGGAACTTCTGTCCAAAACCTCTCTCCTGATGCTGTGGGAAATAAGGGGCAAAGTGAGAATAGGTACCAGGCCTCACAGATTAAAATTGTTATGTCTTCATTGGATTCTGGCAGAAAACAAAACGAAGAATCAATGGTGTGGCAAGCAAATGCATCTTGAAAACCATATTTAAAATACTGTATTTGACACTGATACAGTATTATTATTTGAATGCCCTCAATTTTTTCCCCTTTAACCCAAAGTAGTTGAATTTGAATCTCTGATGGGAAACCAATAAAATCCTTTAAATGTTATACCCCAAATCCATTTACTGTATTAATAAGACAATAATTCATTGGGATACCTGCATATGTTTTAAAAAAAACAGCTATTCACTTATGTATAAATCTTAAAATGCCTGAAATTGCCAAAATACATAAAATAAAAAAGCACTGAAATGCCATTGCCTATCACTTAATGCAGTTTTTGCACTATTTCTTGTATCTTAATAAAAGCTGGTGTAGGGTGTAACTAGCAGTTTTTGCGTGGTGATTTACAATATAAACTATGCATCTTTGCTTGGTAATATATTGGTAATATAAGTGCTCTGGAGTTTACACTCAGGTGACACTATATAGGAGAATAGTTTTAGTAAGCCCAGCCTAAATGACCCAAGAAAATAGATTTTTTTTTAAAAAAATAAAAATATTAAAAAACATAGCTCTGATTTTTGAATCTCCTGACAAGACAGTGTTTGTAATGCTTATTCAGCAAACTTTGAAACAAGAGGAGAATAAAAAAAGGCGGGAAAGGTCAACTGCCTAAGGCCTCCAGATTGCTATGTTAGCAATTGAAAAACTGAGGGGTGTGTGTGTGTGTGTGTGTGTGTGTGTGTGTGTGTGTGTGTGTGTGCTTCAGATGAATGGCTTATCACTTAAAGGCATCAGGCAGCAATGTGAACTTTTCATCCTTAAAGGAATGTTGGTGAATATCTAAATATGTTTACAAAGAAGATGGGAAAGTTTTATGAGGAATATTGAACTGTTTGGAAGTGTTTCCCTCCAAATAAAGCAGGATGGTTGTGCAACAAAAATCAATCTGCAACACTCCAACTATCCCTTTGTCTTCCATACAGCAAAGACGGCTTTTCTCCTGCTTTAGGGATGGTTAAGATTTGGGCCAAGGCTGACTATTTTTTTGTTTTTTAATGGACGGAGAATGACTCTGTTGTGCACCTCCACTGGTGCAATGTTCCACAAACACCTGTCTCATTTTCTGGGAAATTGCTATTCTTCCCCCACATTCCTCAGCAGTCTCAGCTAATGGTTCAGCTACCAGGGAGTATTTACCGTATTTCCAGGTGGGGAGAGGGTACTTATTTCAGATTCTCAAATACCCAACATTAATTTAGTTCATTTACAATAGCTAAATGAACATAACTTCCTAACAGTGAGGACAATTAACCAGTGGAACAGCTTGCCTTCAGAAATTGTGGGCGCTCCATCACTGGAGATTATTAAGAAGAGACTGGACTGTCACTTGTTTGAAATTGTATAGGTTCTCCTACTCGAGTAGGGGGTTGGACTAGAAGACCTTCAAGATCCCTTCCAGCTCTATTCTGTTCTAAACTTTTAGTTGCCTGGCTCATTGCTTTACTCGCCTTCAGTTCTCCATCAGACTCAGCCAAACATACTTTTTCTGCACCTATTATCTGACTAATAATATTTCATTACAGAAAAAGCTTTTCCAGTATAATAGCCAGACTGTCTGACTACTAAGAAACAATATCATCCGGAAATGACTGGCAGGTTTTCTTATATTAGAGTACTCAGGCATCTTAGAATGATTACTAGTCTTTCCTGGAGCTCATCATCTGAGTAACAAGATGGACTCCATGTCACCATTTTCCCCAAATGGATATCTGTGTATATGCAGTACCTCTGCTATAGGACCTTGCAACAAAAGATTTCCCATTTCTGCATTGAACTGCAGGAAGACCCTAGTGCAGTGTTTCTCAACCTTGACAATTTTACGGCATGTGGACTTCAACTCCCAGAATTCTGGGAGTTGAAGTCCACATGCTGTAAAATTGTCAAGGTTGAGAAACACTGCCCGAGTGGCTTCCACTGAAATTCCTGTAATCATTTTGGCATGTTCCAGGTCCTGTCAGCTAGGGAGTGTTGTGTGATGGGGCCCAGCAAGAAACCCATTTCTGTTGTGTCTTCCATTTTATGGAACATCAACCTGCTGGAGATCAGATTGGCCCTTACTGTACTAGCTTTATGTAGGCCTTAAAGATGTATTTTACTATTCTGCATGGGAACCCAGGAGTGTAATACAGCCTGCACAATGGCTGTGTTGAGAGGTGTGAGAATACCTTGGCTATAGATTCTGCAATATCCAGCTATATAAATTGAAATGAGAAATAAATAAAATCTGCAAGGGTACTTAGGAGAATATGAAATGCTGCTTGAGGAATGTATAACTTAGGGTATATATAATTTATGTCCTGTTCTCTCGCAAGTGCCTTTTAGGTATAGGTTGAAGAGGAATATGCTGCTAATGTTCAGAGTTGGTGACATAAGGAAATACTTTGTCATGTGTGTGTGTTTGAGTGTTTGGGTGTATTGGGAATGGGGTTAATTTAAAAAAAAAATATTTACATACATGTCTTCC